ATCTCACTAGCTCCCTATTTTTCTTTTTTCAAGAAAGTTTTCCTCCATCCCAGGTTAGCTCTGTGCTTGCTATGTAGTTAAGGGTGAATTTGAACCTCTGATTGCCCTTCCTTCATTCCCCCACCATGTGCCTGTTCACTCTGTACTTGACCAACAGTCCAGCCTTGGAATATTAGAGGACCCAAATGACCTGTAATTCTGAGACCAGTGGTGTGGAATTACAGGCTCTGCAGGCTCAGTCACCTCTTGAAAAAGCAGGTCTGGGCAGAGGTGGAGAGGATCCAATGAAAGCTTCCCTGTTGAGTTCTGGGGATGAGGGGAGGTTGACCTCCCTCACTGCATTTATGAGACACAAAAACACAGGGACCCATATGCTGTTTTCTGAGTAGAGCCCCAGTGTAAGAGAAATGGTTGGATGGCAGCTAAGACCTGACCTTCCTCAGTGCAGTCCTGCAGAGTCCAGAAAGCCAGGACGTTCAGTGTTCTCAGAAGCATTTCCAAGGCCGCCTGGATTAGTTAGAAGCCCCCAGTAACAGCTATAGAGGATCCCTTTAAGGCTGATAGTGTTAAAGGATCAGAGGCAGAAGTGCTTCTATCAGGCACTGGCTCCTCTTTCTTCCCTCTGTTGGCTTCTCCTAAGGCTGGCTTTTTTCTTACTAGCAGTACAGAATGATTTAATATTAAGCAAATAATGACTACATCAGCCCCTGGCCTCACCCATGCCTATTCAGAAAGGAATTTCTCTTCTCTCAACCATGGAAAAGCACTCAGTCTTGATTTGGACCAACATCCTTCATTCACTCACCCTCAAAGGACCGCTGTGAGTAAGGAAATGCAATCAAGGCAAAGACAGGATAATGTCCAAGTGAATGGAACTGTGCCAGGGGCTCTGGGAGGCAAGAGAGTGGCTGTGTCAACCACCACCAATGGCCTAAGCAACCAGCATATATAGGGAGGGAGGCACAACAGATCCTAGAGCAGTGATCAAGAATGTCCGTCCACCATGCAGGTGGAGACAGCCAAACTTCTAAAAGTGCTTCATGGACAGGAGTGAGACTCTGCTAAGTAGCAGCAGATTTGTGAGCAGCTGGCCAGAGACCACAAGGGAATGATGTCTTAGCATATGCCTCAGTGTGTTGATAATAATAGAGCCCCAAGTTCCCTACCCATCCCATCCCTGATACCTTGGTATTACCCCACAGAACTTAGATACAACCCTGGACAAAAGGAACACCCTAAAAAAAAAAATCTAAAAACTAGTCTCCACTACTTTCAGAATGGCAAGAACCAGAGAAGTAATTAAAACATAGAAACTATTGTGTTCCTTCCCTGCAGCCTATGGTTTAGGCCTTTGCTGTGTTAATTAGCCCTCTGATCTACACAGATACCTTCCAATGAGTCCCTTGTTCATAAGCCACGAAGGAAGAATCCCTCTTCACACGAGTCTCAGGTAAATTTCTTGTTTTAGAGACGTGACGTGTTTTCAGTTCACCCTGCACTTTGTTTTTATTCTTACCCATGAACTTTTAGAAGACCTGAGCTTTTGCCCTGATATATATATATATATGTATATATATATATATATTTAAATTTTAATTGAGTCTTTTTTTTCACAGAGTCTCATGTAGCCAAAATTTGCTTAAATATTTGCTATAATAGTCAAGAATGACCTTAAATTTTTTATCCTTTTGTTTTCCCCCCAGAGTTCTGGGATTACAAGAGTGTATCACAATGGTTAGTTTTATACAGTGCTGGGGATCCAACCTAGTGGTTTGTATAAACTTCCATTGATTAGCTGCATCCTAACCTCCTGCTTGAATGTTTGCTTATGGTCTTAATCTTTTTTAATATTTATTTTTAGTGTGTGTGTGTGCGTGCGTGTGCGTGCGTGCGTGCGTGCGTGCATGCGTGTGTGTGTGTGTGTGTGTGTGTGTGTGTGTGTGTACAGGTGCACAGAGAGGTCAGAAGTGGGTACTGGATGCCCTGGAACTGGACTTACCAGATGTGGGTACTGAGAACTAAACTCAGATCCTCTGGAAGAGCAGGAAGCAGTGTTAACTTTGGAGTCATCTCTCCAGCGCCTGATACTAAACACCTTGTGGGACTGGAGAGAGAGTTCAGCACTTAAGAGTTCTTCTGGTTCTTGTCTTATCAGGTGGCTCACAACTGCCTGTGACTCCTGCTCCAGAGGGTCTGACTCCCTCCTCTGGTCTCCTTTGGAACTGCATTCACATGTGTATTAAAAATACATTGTGTTCAGAGTGTGCCCTCTGAGAGCTTCCTGAAAAAAAAAATCCTCATTTTTTTTTTTTTAAATCAGAAAGCTACATCAAAGTGAACTGATGATTCTGAAAGCACCTTGCAGACTGTCCTTCAGTGCAAGAGCCTGTGATGGCTGTTCTTGGTTGTCAACTTGACTACATCTGGAATTAACAAAAACCCAAAAACCCAAGTGGCTGGGAACACCTGTGAGGAAATTTTTATGCAATCATTTGAAGTGGGAAAGACATACATATTTTGAGATGAGAAGACATACCTTAATCCAGATCTTTTGCGTTAGGAAGATCTACCTTTAATCTGGGTCATACCTTCTAGTGGCAGCTTATATAAAAGACATGGAAGAAGGAAGCTTGCTGTCTTTGGCCTGCTCACCCTCACTCTAGCCTGTAAGTCCATTTCTTCACTGGCATTAGAGTCTACTTCTTTGGGATTGTGTGTGTAGTAAAGACTAGATGAGACATCCAGCATTGTGGATTGAACAACTTCTGGATTCTTGGACTGCTTGGACCACAGCCTATCAGCCACTCTAATAAAGTCATGTGTGAGTGTGTGTGTGTGTGTGTGTGTGTGTGTTGTATATGCAAATGTTTATTCTATCAGTTTTGTTCCTCTAGAGGATGTGACTACTACAGAACACAAAAAAGAAAGCATTCCAAAGGATGGGGAGAAAATAATGGGGGTGGGGACAAGGAGAGGGAAATGCCTCCATTGTAGATCTGCTTTAGGCAGGTTGAGCCTCATGGTCTCTTTTCAGAGTCTATGTCATTTCTTGCTTTTAGTTTCTAGTTTTCAGACCTGAGCTCTGTAGAATACACTGCATTTATATCCAGACCCCAAAACCAAACTAAACCAAACCAAACAAACAAACAAACAAACAAACAAAAAAAAAAACACCAGTCCACCATGAGAGTGAGAGGCCTAGCCATGAACCAACACCTCAAACACCACTGGAGAGAAAAATATAAAATCAAAGGCCAATTTTTGAACCTGTTTGAAGCTGTGACTACAGCCTAGCCAGCTGTGTAGGTTTTGAACAACTGCTGGTACATTAACAAGACTTCTAATTGTAAGTAGCTATTTTCTATGCACTAGGTTAAATTAGAATTCTCTTGTACAGTACAATCAAGGCTTTGAAATTTGGAAAAAACTAACGAGGAAAATGGAATAGGCGTTTATGAGCTAACTTTAAGCTCTAAAGTTAAACTATAACTTTTCAAGTTTTAACTTTTAAGTTGTAAAACCCACGTGTTGAGAGAAGATAGGAAGAACAAAAAAAAAAAAAAGGCAACACATATCTTAGAGCCAGGAAAAAGAGCAGAAGGCAATGAAATGCTGTTCCTTCTGAGGAGAAAGGAGTCTGCAGGAAGAGAAACAAAGTGTCGTGTGGGGGCGGGTGGGTAGCACATGTGGGAGGGAAGGGCCTCATGTCTGAGCTATGATGTATGAGTGACAAGCTGAGGTGGAAGTGAGTGGTGGACACTTGGAGAAGCATTAAACACTCTAGTGCCGTGTGCCACCAAGACCTTTATTTAGCTCATGTGAGGTATACAGCCACCCCATGGGAGAGGTGCTTCTATTGTTTCCTTTGTAGATAGCTGGCCATTGAGTCAGGATAGCCATGTATATCTCATGTTCATTTTGATTCCTAGGTTATGGGACAAGATTCAAAAGTGAGGTTGTCTGATCCTGAAATCCAGTCTCTGTCACAACACTCTACCACACTATTTAAGCATCAGCCACCAGGAGTCAGAAGAGAAGGAAGACAGAACAAAACTTCCCAGAAAACAGAAGGTGCCTGCACATAAACCCTGCACTGGGGGTGTCAGGGCAGGAGGAATGAATTCAAGGCCTTAGGGAGCTTGGTCTCAAGGGAATGATAGAAAGAAAGCAAACAGGGGAGAATTCAGTCCTTCAGTTTCCTAACTCTACAGACTGGGGAGCCTTGGCCAGGGATGATAAAATAAAGTTGTTGCCGTATGTAGTCTGTGCTTAGATTTTATTTTTAAGTGTGTGTGAGCATGCACACACGTGTCTGAGTGTGGGTGCCTATGGAGACCAGAAGAAGGTGTCAGGGCTGCTGGAGCTGGGGTCATAGTCAGTGTGAACTGCCTAATAATGTTCATTTGCTTAAACCTTTCACAGAGAAATAAAAATTATAACGGCTGATAGACACATAATGTAGCCAGCAAGATGACTCAAACAGATAAAGACACTTGTTATGCAAGCCTGTTGATCCCATTTGATTGCTAGAACCTGGAACCTGAAACCCACACAAAGACGGAAGGATAGAAGTGACACCACTCTCTCAGTGTGGCATGTGCATACCCCATCGTATACACATGAGTCCTCTGGAAGAGTAGCAAGTGCTCTTAATCACTGTGCCATCTCTCCACCTCATAGGTGCTGTGTTAAAAAAAAATCCTATAATTATTATCATACTTCAGTGACATGTTGAAGCCATTGTCACAAGAATAGATTTGCTTTGATACATGTGCTGGAAACTTGACCTTCAGTATAACTGTGTTGAGGTGGGAGAGGAATGGATCATGAGGGCTCCAGCATTGGGAAGAGCTAATGTCTGTCTCAAGAATAGTTGCTGTGAAGTGAGACTCATCCATGTGCTAATTCACATGCAGCTAATTCCTCTCCTTTTGTCTTCCATGTTGTAATGCAGCCAGGGTCATTCACCACGGAGTAGGAATTGGGCTAGACACGTGAGATAAATAAACCTGTTTGTTTTATAAATTATGCAGCCTCAGGCATTTTGTTATGGCAACACAGAATGGGTTATCATAAGACTCATGTATTCTAATCATCTTTCTGGAACACAAAAATACTTAATACCTAACTTTGAGGTAAGGTAGTAACAGTGAACATTACAGATTTATCCCCATTTTCATCTTTTTCTTTCAAAATGAGTTTGAAATTATCACCCTCCTTTTCACAAGCTAGAAAGTGTCCTTTGTACAGTGAAGATTCAAATTGCATCTTGTTGTGTCCTGGAACACCTCTCTCAAAGAATATGATATCGCTTTTTGTATCATTGATATGTTCAGGTGGATCCATTTCCTGTGGAGAAAGCACACATTGCATCATTTTTGCTGTTATTTGTATTTTGAGACAAGGTTTCTCTGTGTAACTGTCCTGGCTGTCCTTGAACTCATTTATAGACCAGGCTGGCCTTGAACTTACAAAGAACCACCTGCCTCTGCCTCCCAAGTGCTGGGACTAAAGGTGTGTGCCACCACCGCCTGGCCAGACTTTATACAATTTTTAAGGATATAAACAATTTGAGCTGGGGTGATGTCTTGCTGCTATAGCCTCTTAGAGTCTGGAATTTGGCTCCTGGCACCCATGTGGGGCACAGCTCATGAATGCCCAAACTCCAGCACCATGGGATCCAACTCCCCATTCTGGCCTCTGAAGAAGCACACACACACAGATATAAATACAGAAAATGAAATATTTTCATTTAAAAAGGAGTTTTAACAATTTGAATATGTGCCATTTATTTAGAAGTATATTACTAAACAGAACTAAAGCAGCTTTACTTTTTTCAGTAAAAAAACACCCTGAATATAAGAGTAATAAGAGTACTGAACACCTCTCTTTAATTCCTAACTTGCTATTTTCTCCTCTTGTCTGACCTTTCCCACAATGGTGTGCTTATCAACACAAGGGCCTCCTGGTCCTTCTATGCCCAGAGAGCTTCCTTCTGTTCTTTCCCACTAAGTGGCTCCATTAGCAGGTCTGCTAATGATGAAGTAAAGTTCTAGCAAAGACATCTCATTGGGCTAATTTCAGTTCTTGTCTTCAATCATCCTTATCTAAATATATTGATAGTCTTCTCCCTTAAGCTCAGTATCTCTAGTTTCTGAATCAGCCATGAGAGATGCAGGAGGTGTCAGAATCTTAGTGCCTTCTTTCTGTGGATCCTGAAACTAAACTGTAGCATGATTAGACTTAGCAGTTATTCTACAGCTGAGTCTTGGGTTCCCCAATAGGCCAGCTGCACTGACTCAGTCTGTGGCCCCCGACTCTGCTTTCCTGCCAAACATGACAGTGGACAGTAGTTTCTTCTTTCTGTCCCGAGTTTAGTACCAAGTACTGATTCCCGTATCTGTTGTTCAGACACCAGGGTCCTAGTCAGGATTAGGTTCTGGAAATGGTAGTCCCTCCCACTGGGCCTGCAACTGCTGGGAGTGCCCTACAAAAAGAATACTTTTCCTATTCTTGGATCTTGTCTCCTTTTCAGGATATATTAGAAAATGTGGACACTGCCCAAGGTTCTTCCATGTTAATCATAGAACTAATACTTTGGAGTTAACTTTGACCCCAGGGTAGCAAAGATCCCCATGACCCTATGAACTGATTGAGAAATCTCTAGAATTAAAAATGGATTCTATCACCTGGGTTGTGGTGGTGCATGCCTTTGGTCCCAGCACTAGGGAAGCAAAGGCAGGCTGATCTCTGTGAGTTCTACAAGAGCTAGTTTTAGGACAGCCTCCAAAGCCACAGAGAAACCCTGTCTTGAAAAACAAAAACAAAACAAAACAAACCAAAAAAAAAAATGGATTCTATCCTCTTAAGATTTGTAGAAGACTCTGCAGGTGTGCTTTCAACTGCACTAGTTAAATTGACAGCCATAGCTCTTGGCCATTCCCCAAACTAGTATGGGCTGTGACTGATGGTAGTATAAAGTTCTCTCATATTAGCATCTCCTCCTGAAGCTGTGCCTGGTAAAGCACAACTCAAGGAGATACTTTAAGCTGCAGGAGATAATCTAGGACCAAGCTGAATCTTAAATCCTTGGCCACAAAGCTCCAGTGATATAGCAGGGTAATGAAGTTGGGTCTTACCTGAACCCAGTCTATGGCAATAAAGGATAAGATCTGCATTAGTGGGAGGCCCTGGGCCTGAGACCTGAAACAATGGTATATACCTTTAATCCTAGCACCTGAGAGACCTGGAAAGTTCCAGGTCACCCTCAACTATACACTGAGTTTGAGGTCAGTCTGGGATACAAGAAACCCTGTTTGAATAAAAGCAATCAGCTATCTTTTCCTGTCTGACAGGCTCAGAGACAAAATTAGATAACCAAGTATCATCACTAGGCCAAAGGGCTTGACAATTCCCTGTACTCATCCATTTCAGTGGTTGTCTCTGTTCTTTGGGCTCTAGATAAAAAGTTGGTCTAAGGATATCTGACTTTTATAATTTTGCCCATTTAATATGACTGAAACCAAATTAATATGACTGAAGGTGGCTCTTACCTGAAAGGAAATTACTTTGTTCTTACAGGAGAGGGTAAACATTTTTTCATTCTCCACAGAGAGGGTTACAGCCAGTCCCCCTGCATCAGAATCTTTATACATATATATTATCAGTCTGGTCTGTGCTGCATTAGCTGAAATAAATATTAATGAGAGAGACCATTAATTAGCATAGTCCTCCTCCCTCAAATTGGCATCTGTAGAAATTTAACAAAGGATAGATTCACCTTAATAGATCAGTCACAACCCTTACTCAGGTTTGGTCAGATAGTTAACAGATATGAGGCCCAGCTAGCCATACACCCCTTAAAACACACCTACAGGGTGCTATAAATCATTGGGTGGGCAACATGAGTGGGTTAGATGTATTCTGTATTCTGAGTATGTTAAAGATATTCTGATATTTTTTTCTTGATATCTGATATTTTCCTTCAGTGTATTAAAGACACATGAACCCTGCTAGGTATTATACACCTTTAAGAGGCAGGCTGGTCTACAAAGTGAGTTCCAGGACAGCCAGGGCTACATAATAGCCAGCCCCCAATCAGAATGTTACTCTGAGTCTAAAGACTATGTTTATTAAAAACATATGTTAAGGCCAAAATCTTAGGATAGGATTTTCTTTTCAAGAATATATATTCAACTAGGCCCCAAACCGTGGTATTTGGGGCTTACACCCTGAGAGGTGCGGTAAGTGTGCTCATCTTGGGAGGTACTCTCATGTTCTGGTGGGAGACAGATTAATTTAAAATGTTTGTGTTCTACTTTTCATTGAGTTTCGATGGTGTCAGCAGTGTTCAGCTATAACCAATGGGGATGAATGATCCAACTTGAAAGGTTCTTCTATTGAGAATGCAATTGACTGGAGATACACACATAGGCTCAGAGTGACATGGCCTCTACAGTGTCTTTATTGCATCAAACTCCTCACTCCAGCTAATAAAGGTGTGTTCTCTAAAGTGAAATTATATTAGCTACTCTGACTTTCCATCTAAGGATGGGATCTGACATTTGGAACTGTAAAATGGAGTGGAGAGAATTGGTGGTCACCTCTGTGTTTTTAAATAAGTAGAGAAAAGTACCCCCTAGGTCAGCATCAGTCATGTCCTCAAACACAGGTTGCTTTCTTCTGTCAACGAAGAGAACTTGGTCATTCATATTTCGTATGACTGTGCTTATATGGTTAAGCTTGCCAAAGTAGTCTGATTCCAGGTCTCCTATAATACAAATTGAATCATTAATGGTAAGTTGTTTTATTAGATCAACAAACAGACCTAATACTACTGTTTCCAGAGTCAGCACAACCTAGAAGCAGCAATGACCAAGCTGCCTTTTGTGTTTCAGTCTGCTTCTAAGAGCACACCAAAGCGTTTCCTGTTTGCACTCAGAACGACTCTCCCTCCACAGGTTCAGATATTTTACTTTCTGGTCAGTCTCCTTTATTTTCCTACACTTTTATTCTTGCTGTCCATGTTCTTAGACATCATGAAGCCCTCTATTCTCCTGTCTCTGGGACTTCTTTCCCTGGCTGATCTTCTGCCTGCCCTTCCCTTCATAATTGCACCTTGTGGTGTTTCATCATAGCATTTTGTTAGTACCTTAAGTCCTTAACCAAGGTTAAGGTAGTGGTGCCCATCTTTAATCCCAGCACTTAGGAAGCAGAGGCAGGTGGATCTCTATGAGTTTGGGCCTGGCCTACAGAGCGAGTTCCAGGACAGAGAAACCCTGTATAGAAAAGCCCAAAACAAAACAAAACCCCAAAAAACAAGAAAACACTATTTATGTAAATTTGAGAACTGTGCCACCACAGGCTCATCAATTGTCAGTACTTTGTTTTCCAGTTGAGCTCTGTGTCTTGCAGTCCATAGCTGTAGTTTCAAGTCTTCCCTCTCTCAGGAACGTTGCCTCTCTCTCTCTCTCTCTCTCTCTCTCTCTCTCTCTCTCTCTCTCACTCTCTCTCTCTCTCTCTCTCTCCTTCATTCTCTCCCTCCTCATCTCTCTCTCTCTCTCACTGGGATTGGTTTAGTAAAAATCTAAATGTCCAATAGCTAGGCAGGAGGTATAGCAGGGACTTCTGGAAGAAGAAAGATGGAGTCATCAGCCAGACGCAGAGGGAACAGGCATGTAGGAGAAGAGGTAAAAGTCATGAGTCACATGACAACACCTAGATGAATAGACATGGGTTAATTTAAGTTAGAAGAGTTAGTTAGCAATGAGCCTAAGCTAAGGCCGAGCTTTCATAATTAATAATGAGGATCCATGTCACTTTTTGTGAGCTGGAGGCCCAAAGAAAAATCCATCTTCTCTCTCTCTCTCTCTCTCTCTCTCTCTCTCTCTCTCATACACACACACACACACACACACACACACACACACACACACACACACACTTCAATACAGGGTTTCTAATCTGTAGATCAGCCTGGCCTCAAACTCAAGAGTTCTGCCTGTCTCTGCCTCCCAAAGTGCTGGGATTAAAGGTGTGTGCCACTACACCCGACTAGGGAATTATCTCTTGTTAGTACACATATAAACTCAATGGAGGGAACATTTCCTCTAATAAAGGAAAATGCAGAAAAAGTGCTCCCTCTCAATGTCTAAGGCAGAGCCCACTTATACTGTGTGTAATGGACTGAAGCTTTGATTTGCCAACTATCCCCTTCTGCAAACCTGGCATTTCTACTCTCTAGGTTTTATCCTGAACAAACAATCAGACACATGTGCTAACACTGTTGTACAATAATGCTGCTGAGTGTGCTGCTATGACCCTAGCACTGGAGAGGCTAAGGCAGGAGGATCACAAGTTTTAAACCAATCCAGGTGATAAGGTGACATCTGGGCTAGTCTAGGCTATATAATAACAACCAGTGTCAAGTCAAACCAGACAACAGAAATCTCCAAGAACCCTGTAAACAACAGTAGTAAGATGGAAACAACCTAAGTCTATTAGCCAAGGAATTTAAGTTTTATTATGTTCTCACCATAGAATAATCTGGATTTAATATAACTGTTATTATTAACTACCAAGGAAACATCTCTATAGACAGTTTCTCCCAGCGGACAATGGATGTGTCAAGTGCCTTCTAATTTGCAAAGAGAGAAAAATAAATGTATACTTTACCATCATCTTCAGCTAAAGGGAGGAAAAGAGAAACAATATGTTAAATTATATAGTACAGCTCAACACGTCCCCTCCCCTGCCCTTTAGCAATTCTATTCTTTCACCTCCCTCCCCCTGCAACACACCCAGGGTTTTACTAAATAGCTCTGGCTGCCCTGGAACTCACTTTGTAAACTGTAAGGCTGTCCTTCAGCTCACAGAGATCTGCCTACCTCTTTCTCCTAAGTGCTTGGATTAAAGGCGTGTGCCACCATGCCTGGCCCCACTCCTAACTCCCTAACCTCTGTGCCATAGTGATGGTTCTGTTGGCCTCCATTAGGGATATTAGATGACAAGTATTCAGGAGCCCATAAAATTAAGCTTATTAGGGTTTGCATGTTGGGTATAAAACTTAAATCTTGGGCTGGAGAGATGGCTCAGTGGTTAAAAACAGTGTCTGCTCTTCCAAAGGACCCAGGTTCAATTCCCAACACCCACACGGCAGCTTATAAACCTCTGTAACTCTAGTTTCAGGGGACCCAACACCTTTTTATGGCCTCTAAGGGCACTTCCTGCACCTAGTACACAGACATGCATGCAGGAGAAACACCCATAGGCATAAAATAAAATAAAATAGTAATAATTAAAACATTTAAATCCAGGATTTGTAAATCTCAGTACATAGCTAAAGTATTTTTTTAGTAAAGTGGAAAACTTTCTTTTTAAATTTATTGTTTAAATGGCAAGACATCTAAGGAATTTCCAGGAAGCTACCAAAGAAAGCTGAACTTTGAGTGAAGTCAAATCACCCATGGAATCTTAGAAGATTTTTCTTTTTGGTCAAATATATTCACATGAATGGTGTACACAGAACTGTAAGCCTAGAATATCACAAATTGCATTTCTTTTTGGAAGCAGTGTTTCCTCAGTGATATATTTTTATGATAGGTACCAGATGCCATCTTGGTAAGCTACTGCTGGAATGCCACCCTATGATGTGGGGCAGAGCACTGGGACCTTGGGAATCTATTTTTGTTTTTTAAGAGAGGAGAGTTCATTAACATTGTAGTAGAATTTGACGACAAACAGGAGTCCAAGCTTACTTCATGATTTCCTTTCTAGTTGAAATCCTGTTCTGAGCCCTGCATTTGTCTTACTGGTTTAGACTTACGTATAAAGTAAAGTGTGTTGTCAATAAATGCCATTTCCCTGAAGTTGATGCAAGAGCCTTCTTCTTGTATGGCAGCCATCTTTATTCCTAATGAAAGTAAAGAGTCACCCATGAAAAGGCAAAGACTGCTCTTTGTACAATAAAATGATCAAACCCCTTACCTTCTTATTTTTTTTAAAGATTTATTTTTTAATTTATGTATTTGATGTTTTGCCTGCTTGTGTGTCTGTGTACCACATGCATGCAGTTCTCATGGAGGCCAGAAGAGGGCATTAGATCCCCTTGAACTGAAGTTACAGATGGTTGTGAAGCACCATGTGGGTGCTGGAAACTGAACCCCAGTGTTCTGGAAGAGTAGCTGGTGCTCTTAATTGCCAAGCCATCTCTCCAATTCCTTAATACTACCTTCTAAACCTCCACATTTGAAAGTCATTTATTACTCAATATGCTGATAAATAACTGTGATGTTTAATAAAAGTGAAGTATCAGTCTATAACACTCACATTTATGTCCTTTTATAAACCATTAGTTATTTGGAATCAGGAGAGTGCTGTTTCATAGTATTTTGAAGGGTGAATATATGGCTCACTATTGAATGATTGGTTTCATGTTCACTGGTAATGCTAGAAATATATTCCTCAACCGGGGACCAGTTCTATTTGAACTTAAAACCCAGTGGCTTCCTGTAGATGAGATGCTGAAGGTTCATGAGCTCAGTGTCACAGTGGTAAAGGAGAGATAGAAAGTGGTATTTCCACCTGGAATCTGGGGTAAGGTGGGAGAAGACTGAAAGTTCCTGAGAGTTGGTGGGTTTCCTCTGAAGGCAGCATCAGCTTTTGACCTGAAGTCTGGCTTGTCTATGTTTGTGTAATACATAAACATAATGTTTCTTCAAAAAAACAAAACAAACAATCAAACAAACAAAAAACCCCATTGTATTTGCTTTTCCCTTTCCCTTACCCTACTCTACACTTACATATGTTGATCCTTCCAAAATTTTGTCATGGAGTAAGAGTTTGTTGTGGAGTTCTAAGTATGAGACATCTGTGACTTCGGGTAGAAAAAAATACACATTTATTCTCATTTATTTCTAAGCTGAAGTGTAGCAACCCCCCCCCCCTGTTATAACTACAGTGAAATAAACTACAGTGCCCTGACCCTGCTACTAATAGAAATGCTCACTTATTATCAGCTACCATTGCTACCAGGCATCTTGAAATATTGTTTAAGATATGGTACTTTATCACTTTGAAATTACCCTAATAGATCTTGTTGCTTAATGTATTAATAAGGAATAAACAACACTATTTAAATTGTTAGTTTTTTTTTTTTTTTTTTTTTTTGGCAGCACTTGTGAGGTTGAGCCAGAAGGATCTGGAGTTGGATGCTATATAGTAAGATTGCTACCTAAGGCTCTGTCTCAATAGCCACCTCCTCAGCTTTTAATAACCATTCTAATTTAATGAGTTTCCTGTCTGTCCTTTAATGTGAAAATAACGGGCCAGATGAAAGCAGCATCCTTAAGAGCTCTCTGCTCCCTCCAGAGGTTACTGGCAGGTTCTCTTGATCCCTTTTTCTCCTAAAGTAGGAAAGAGACCTCTGCAGTCCACTGTCTCTTGAAGGCAGGTCCAATGAAGAGGAACACAATTACCTTCAATCGCCTATTTCTCTCTCTCTCTCTCTCTCTCTCTCTCTCTCTCTCTCTCTCTCTCTCTTTCTCTCTCTCTCTCCAGTGTCCTGTTGAAATCATAATCCTGCTTCAGCCACTTGAGTGCTGAGATTCCAAGTGTGTGCCACTGAGTCTGCATTGACTCTGGGGTTATGCTCCCCTGGCTCCCCAACAGTAATTATCACTCTTTAAAGCCACCTACCTACCCTACTCTACTTCCTCTCTTAGGAATGTATCCAAACTTTCATGTTTCATGTAGCTCAGGTGCTTGTGAGTGTTAATAATCTCTTGATTAGTAAGATTTTTTTATTGATTTTAGTCAATAAATCTCTTAGCTCCTGATAATCTGTTGATTGCTGTCTTATTTCAACAGACTCAAATATGGTACCTTCAGGGGAAAATGTACAAACTTCCCTTACACCACAGGCATGTTCTGGAGTGCAGCTAGTGTCTCATGCTGAGAAGGCAGTTAATGGATGGAGCTCTCAGAACTGTGACTGAGTCACAATTGTTTAATTGTTTTGGTGGTTTGTAGCCACCAGGATTCATGTTGAGGCTTGGTCTCTATGTGTCAGTGCAGGAGGTGGGGCCTTATTGGAGATGCTTGGATAATTAAAAGTGGAGCCCACAAGAAGGAATGGATTAGAGCTTTTTCTCATGAGATGACTCTTTAAAGAAAGGTCTATTTCAACTCCTCTCTCTCTCTCTTGTTTTTGGAGACAGAGTTTCTCTGTGTAGTCCTGGCTGTCCTGGAACTTGCTCTGTAACCCAGGCTGGCCTTGAACTCACAAAGATCTGCCCACCTCTGCCTCCTGGGTACTGGGATTAAAGGTGTATGACACCACTTCCCAGCCCATATTTTTCAAAAGTAATTTGCCTGGAATACAGCAAACACTATGGTCAAGAATTGGATTTTCAAATTACTAGTATTTACTGTAGTGAAATTTACTGTAGTGAATATCTAATTAGTCATTGAATGAATGACCTCGAGAGGGACTCAGGTACCCTAAAAATACTATTCCTATGGCTGGAGAGACAGCTCAGTGGTCATGAGCACCAACTACTTTTCAAGAGGACTCAGGTCCATTTTCAGCACCCACATGGTGGCTCACAGCCATCTGTAACTCCAGGTCCAGGGAAGCTGATGTCCTCTCCTGGCCTCCACAGGCAGCAGTGGTACATGCAGGCAAAACATCCATATACATAAAATAAATACATTATTTATTAATTTACCTCTCCTAAATGGATCTGATGGTACAGGTCTGTATTCCCAACATCAAGAAGCCAAAGCTATAGGATCATGGATTAGAGAGATCCCTCCCTGGGCTCTGTCTAAAAAACTAAAACAACAACAACAACAACAAAAAAAACAAAACAAAACAAACAAACAAAAAAAAAAAAAAAAAAACCAGAGGTTAGGGGTGTGGCTCAGTGTTTGAGAGCTCGGCTGGCATGCTCAAGGCTCCCTCTTCAAAAATTACAGTAACAACATCGAAAGAAACAAACACACTCTTCCCCATACTTCTCCTACTTGTTTACCATGTAATTTCTCAATATCTAATATGAGTCAACTGTGGGGCTAGGAGCTGAATGAAACTTTGCTCCCATCTTCCAGTGACTCAGACTCCAGTGGGTGGGACAAGGTATCATGGGTGCTGTAGAAGCTGGAGTTTCAAGAGACTCCTCGTGGTGGAGTAGGAGTTAGTGTAGTGATGTTAGTCTAGCAAGGACAGAGGAGTAAGCTTGTCAAGGGTCAGGGAGGAGGAGGCTGGGAGACCAAGGCTTGCTTGAGGTTTCATCATTTTACCACACAGAGTGTAAATGTAGTCATAGCTTTCAGACTTCCAAGACCATTTTGCCCTTGGTAATAAATGTAGCAGTGTGGAGGTGCCATTCTTGGGGTGAACATGTTGACAGCCATCAACGTGGATGCATGCCTTCTTCCCATCCACCTTCTCAGCATTATTAACAATGTTTTGTAGAGTGCCTTCTCTTCACATCTTATCATGGTGGTACTTTGGCCTTCTTAATACTGTGTAGTCTTGCATCTTGCTTGTACTTATATACTTAGAGATTGTTCATATTACAAATAGTAACATTTTTATCAGATCTGAAACTATTTAAACCTGGGTGTGTTGGTGTACATCAGTAATCACATTTGGTAAGTAAGGGCCTGGGGTTCAAGGTGGAGACAGGAGGTTCAAGATTTTCTTCAGTTACACAGTGAATTAGAGTCCAGTCTGGGTTTTGTGAAGGCAAAAAGAAAAGAAAATAATTTTGATGAAGCATAGTATTATATGGCTAGTGAGATAGTTCTGGGCACTTGCCACCCATATCTGGAGACCTGAGTTAGATTCCAAGAACCTACATAAAGGTGGAGAGAACTGACTCCATAAAAATTGTCCGCTGTCACACACCTGTCTCATGCACACATTGTAATAAAATAGTAAGTTAGTAATAACATTATAATCCAGTGTGATGGCATAGACCTGTAACCCCAATTATAAGAGTGGTTAAGACAGAAGGCCTGCTTGGGTAACTCAGAGTGAGTTCAAGGTCAGTTTAGGTAACTTAGCTCCTGTCTCCAAACTTAAAAAAAAAAATGTAACAAAAGGAAGGGGGAAGGTTGGAACTAGGGCTCAATGTGAGAACTTCTGAAATATGGAAGGAATAGCTTAATTTATACCTTAGTGGTGGAGGTGGATAATCCCACTAGGGTAAGGTCTTCTAGTTGGCAATAGTGCAAACAGTTTACAATCCCCTTGACCTAGTAACTCTGAAATTATGCCAATCTAGACTCAGTAATTTATTTATTTATTTATTATCTGTTTATTTATTTATTTTGTTTTTTTCAAGATAGGGTATCGCTGTGTGGTCTTGGCTGTCCTGGAATTCTCTCTGTAGACCAGGATAGCCTCAAACTCAAGAGATCTACCTGCTTCTGCTTCCCAAGTGCTGGGATTAAAGGCATGAACCATCACCTCCCACCTAGACCACCTTTTTAATTTGAAAATGTTCATATTATTTCCAATTACTTATAAAGTTAAACTGATATTTTCCTATTACATTATTTAGATTTTGCCTAATTTAATTTAGAGGAGCTTGCAGTGTAGCTCCTTTGACAAAACCCAGGGAAGGAGAGCAGGTGATAAGTCTTGTTTTCTCAGGCTGGAAAGGTCAATCTCCATGAGTAGGAGGAAAACAGGTTAAACTCGAGTTTTTAAAAACTCATTCTATTTGGGGACAGACTTTAGACCTTTCCTCAAAACCCAGTGAAAGAAAGAAAACAAGGGAAGCCTGAAACAGATGAATCAAATGGAAGACTTTCTCACTCTCATTTTTCCTAATTTGTATATTTTATGTGTTTACTCTGAAGTTTTCACTTACTTTGTTCCCACATCCATTAGCTCTCAGCGCATCATGATTGTAAGTATAATCTCTTCACTCCTCTCCCCAATTTCCTCAGACTCTTTCTCACTCATGCTTCCTCACTTCCTTAATTCTAATGCATGAAATACAGTTCTCAGTGGATAAGAATGCCTTGACATTTTAGCTAGTAGTTTACCTAATAGTCTCTTTCTTGCATATGTATGTGTGTAACTGTTCATGCATGCATGCGTGTGTGTGTGTGTGTGTGTGTGTGTGTGTGTGTTGTATATAGATAAGAGGACAATTGTGGCTATTATTCATTTAACTACCATCTATCCTTTTAGAAAGGAAAGAGACAATATTTATTTTTGTGTGTGTGTTCGCATGTCTAAGGTTAGAAGTCATTTCTGGGGCCAGGGTTAGTGGCAGACATCTTTATCCTCTGAGCCAATTGCTGGCCACACCATTTTTTTTTTTTTTTTTTTGAGACAGGACCTCTCAGTGTCTTGGAACTTGCCTGCTGGCTAGACTGGATGATCAGCAAGCTCCATGATAGATCCACCTATCTCTGCCACCTTAGCAATGGGGTTATGAGCTCACTGAACAACTCGGTTTTGCTTGCTTTTTAAAGTTGCATTCTGGGTATTGAACACAGGTCCTGGAGTACTCTTCCAACCTTGTCATCTCCCCAGCCCTCACCTAATATTTTCATAAAGAGCCTCTTAGGAGCATATAGCAAGAACTGGGTCTTCCAGCAATACCACTCTTGGGCATACACCCAAAGGAGAAGCACATTCATATCATAAGGGCATTTGCTCAACTATGTCCATAGCAGCATTATTTGTAATAGCCATAACCTAGAAACAACCTAGATGCCCCCACCCAAAGAATAAAGAAGATGTTGTACATTTACACAATGGAGTATTACTCAGTAAAAAACAATGACACCTTGAAATTTGCAGGCAAGTGGATGAAACTAGAAAAAAACATCCTGAGTGAGGTAACCCAGATCCAGAAAGACAAAAATGGTATGTACTCACTCCTAAGTGGCTATTATGTGTAAAGCAAAGGATAACCAGGCTATAATCCACAGCCCCAGAGAAGCTAGGTAAAAAGGAGGACCCTAAGAGGAACACACGAGGGCCCCAGGAAGGGAAAGTAGTTGAGATTTCCTGGGTAAACTGGGAAGGGGATAGAAGGGAGGAGATGGAGCATGGGAACAAGAGGGATCAAGATAGCCAAGTTGGGGGAGGGACTGAGAGAGAGAACAATGAAAGAAATATCATGATAGAGGGAGTCATTACTGAGTTAGGGAGAAATCTGGTGCTAGGGAAACTCCTAGGAATCTACAAGGAGGACCCAGCTATGGTTCCTAGCACTAGTGGAAAGGATGCCTGACGGATGGTCTTCCCCTGTAATCAGATTAGTGGCCACCCTTACTCCCATCATAGAATCTACATCCAGGAAGTGATGGAAGAAGGTGCAGTGGCCCACAGCCAAGCACTGAGTGGAGCTCCTGGAGTTCAGTTGAAGAGAGGAGGGAGGAGAGATCACATGAGCAAGGGGGATCAAGATCATGATGTGGAAAACCACAGACACAAGCTAGTGGTAGCTCATGGACTCTGGACACCTGGGGAAACTGTGTGGGACCGACATAGGCACTCTAAATGTGGCTTGGTCTGTTTGGGAGGCAGGGGGCTAGCAGTGGGACCAGGACTTATCCTAGGTGCATGAACTGGCTTTGGAGCCCATTATCTATGATGGATACCTTGCCCAGCCTGATTTAGTGGGGAAGGACTTGGTCCTGCCTCAACTTGGTATCCCAGACTTTGGTGACTCCCCACTGGAGGCCTTATCCCCTCTGAGGAGTAGGTGGGAGGGAGGATGGGGGGAGGTAAGGAGGTAGGAGAAGGGGAAGGAAGAGGAACTGGGGTTGGAATGTAAAATGAAACATTTTTTTTCTTAAATTAAAAAAAAAAAAAGAATTGGGTCTTCAAAACAAAACAAAAGTTGTATAAACCTTTAGGAACTAGCCCATAGAGAGCAAATGGCAGAATATCATGATGAAAAATAGGTCATATGAGGTCCAATTTTGCCTGGGACAAGTTACTTAATTGTAGGAGCAGTCTCAGTTTCCTCATTTGGAAAACAAGGAAGCTGGAGATCAAGCTTTTTTTCCCCCCAGCCCCAGAATTCTGCAATTCTAGGCTATTAAAGCTGCCATGAAAGTGCCATTTATATGGGGCAAATGCCCTAGTGGCTTCCTCCTACTGTGGTTCTTAACCCGTGGGTCTTCATTCTTTCACAGGGGTCACCTAAGACCAATAGAAAACACAATTTTTACATTATGATTCATAACAGTAGCAAAATTACAGTTAGAAAGTAGCAGTGAAAATAATTTTATGGTCGGGGGTCACCACAACATGAAGAAGTATATTTAAGGGTCACAGCATTAGGAAGGTTGAGAACCTTTGGAAGACAATACACAGATATAGACTATTATTCAGCCAGAAGTTTTAAATTTCTAGGAGCTTTAAAACTTAATATTTTATTAAAAGTAAAATGCCTGGAACTTGAAAGGCAACTATGCCCCCATTCGCCCTGTCTGTGGAACTCCAGTTCTGTGGAGTAGGTGTGTGTTAAACAGAGGGGGGCTGCTACATTATTAAATCTCTACAATCAGGTGGGAAGTCATCTTGACAGCAGCAAGATCAACACTCAGCATTTCAATTCTTTTTTTTTTTTTCCAAGACAGGGTTTCTCTGTGTAGCTTTGGAGCCTGTTCTGGAACTCGCGCTGTAGACCAAGCTGATCTCAAACTCACAGAGATCTGCCTGCCTCTGCCTCTGCATGCTGGGATTTAAGTCATGCACCAACACCACCTGGCTAGTATTTCAATTCTTAAAAAAACAAAACAAAGCAGTAACAACAACAAACCACCTTCATTGTAGCAGGTGTAGCAGCACAAGCCTTTAATCCCAGCACTTGGGAGACAGAGGCAGAACTTTGTGAGTTCAAGTCTACCCTAGTTAAATAGTGAGTTTAAGAACAGCCAATGCTACCAAGTGAGGTCCTGTCTCAAACAAAATAAAACAAAACAAAAAGACCCCTGTAGTGTAGTGTAGTGTGTGTGTGTGTGTGTGTGTGTGTATAAGTGTATAATGGCATATGTGTGGAGTCGATTTGCTCTCCTCCCTTTTGATATGGGTTTCATGAATCAATTGCAGGTCGGCAGGCTTTGAGGCAGTTCTTTTACCAGTTGAGCCACCTCACTGGCCAGGTGACATTTCAGCTCAGTCGGTCAGTTAGCCCTTGACAATTGTGCCATCTTACAAATGAGTGTACGTGGAATGTGGGAGCAATGGGGGCAGAGCACAACAGGAAATTAGATCATTAATGAAGGCGTATTTAATCAACTGTTAAGTATAGGCTTGACAAAAAATAGTCAAATGAAACTGACATACTTGGAATGAGTGTGTGTGAAAGGAGAGTCAATGTGAATTTTGAAGATTGCTCCATATTTGAACAGAGGGAACAAGGACATGGGGGAAGAGTACTTGTGTGATGGGGAACAGTGGTGTGGTGGGGGTGGGGTGGCAGGTAGAGCAGTCCTCTCCTGCAAGAACAGAAGCATATGGAGGGTTTTGAGAGTCCCATGGAAGACCCTGGTTAACAGCACTGGGAAAGCGATGCAGGTAAGAGGTAAGGCACTCTGCAGGAGCATGTCAGAATTTGGTCAGCTAAAAATAGGCAAAAAGTAAAGAGATTAAAGACATCTTCCTTGGTTTTGCTATTTATCTTCAAAATAGAGATAATTTTATTCAGCCCTTCCCTTGTAAAGTAGTCTTCCTGGGGGATGCTATATTATCCAAGTACAGACCTGTCCAAGACTTCTGCTGGGGATCTTATGATTAGCGTCTTGTAGGAGCTCTCTTTTGTTTTGACAGGTTTGGATTTCCTTCATTGCTCCAAAAGCAGAGGTTCTGACGGTTCCTAGGGTAGCTGAAGCTGATTCCAGTAATCCTAGGATGCCACTTGCCATTTAGAGCTCTTACTCTCACAAGTGGACAAGAGTATCAGAAGCGAAGTCAATGTACCATTGAAACAGTTTGAAAACAAAGCAAGAATCCTGCCCTCTTCCATTGGGCCAAACAGTAAAAAGGTTTGTAAACATAAGAAAGGCTGTCTCTAAGAATGTTATTGAAGAACACATGTGATGTACTTTACAATAAACCACTAGATGACTACTTTAAGTTTTTTTTCTAGGACAGTGCATTACAGTAATATGGAAAATAGACAAGAGAAAGAAAAGTTCTCCATGGTTCTTAATAATCTTCACAAGATAACAGAGAATCTGTGCCCTGAAGTGACACTTTCCCACATCTAGCAGAGAGAAACAACCTGTTCCCTGCTTCTGTTCCTTGTCTGATTACTGATTTCCTGTCTTGGTGATCAAGGAGACCCATTCCTCTCAATAGCATTTTAGCGTATTTACCTCTAGTTGTCATGCCTGTGTTTCCAAATAAAGAGAGACATGTCTTACCTGGGCTAAATAGTTCCCACCAAGAGGAAGTGATCTGGAAGCTGAGGCCTCTTTCCTCTTCTGATACCGGAGTTGTAGAAGTGGCAGCCCTGTCAGCAGCTGGAGCAGGCAGCCAAGAACACAGGGAGCATGGAGGCACAGAGAGCTTGCAGTCTGGGTGTGGATCCAGCAGCAGTCTGAGAAAGAGGCATGAGGAAGGAGGAAGGAGGTAGCAAAGGGAGGAGACTGCCCTGGCACGCCTCAGACCCGCCTCCAAGGCACACTTGCAGCAAAAATGTTAGAAAACACAGGCATTTCCCTTAATGTAAACATCGCTATTAGGTGAATCATCTCTTCTGTGAAAGCTGGGGTCTGGCCCTTCCCAGGGTCCATGCCTCCTTCAGAAGGTTAGGAAAGCAACAAAAGGAAATGAACCTGCTTGGTTAATTAGAGCATCCTTTGTCACATCGGCCTCTGTTCTGAGGCTCGCATCACACTTCAGCATGATGTCTAACACACTGGAATCATTTCTATAACATAGTCATTATACCTAAAATACCCGTAAAATATATTTTGGGGGAGATGCGTATTTTGCATAGTATTTTCATTCTTTCTCTTTAAGACTTTATTCAGGACTTTTTCCTTCCCATGCACAACATGGTACCACATGACACATGATAAGGACTGTTCAGATTTACTTCTCAATGGCCTGGAAACAGCCCGTTTTCATAAAGCCCTTTTATAATCACGTCAAATGCCAGTCCAAATCTATTTCATTAGATTTTTTTTCCTGTGTGTGCATGTGTGGGAGTTGTACATTCCTGTAGAGGCAGAAGCCAACCTCAGGTGTGGTTCCTCAGAACTGTCATAATGGTTTTTGAGACAGGGTCTCTTACTAGGACCTGGGGTACACATGATTTGGCTAGTTAAGCTAATGGGCTAGTGAGACCCAGGTACCTGACTGTCTCCATCTCCTTAGGGCTGGAGTTACAAGTGTGTGCCATCATGCTAATAGGCTTTTTTTTTTTAATTTTCTTTTTTTTTTTCCTGTGGGTATATGCATGTGGGGGTTGAGGGGGTGATTCATGTGCCATAGTATATAGATGGTCAGAGGACATCTTGCAGGAGTGAGTCCTCTCCTTCCAGCATATGGGCCAATGGATTGAACTCGGGCTTCAGGCTTGGCAGTAAGTGCCTTTATGTGCTGAGTCATCTCACTGGCCTTATGTCAGACATTATTTGTTTTAATGTGAGTTAGTTGGGGATTGAACACATATTCTCATGCTTGTTTGGCTAGAACTTTACTGACTGAGTTGTCTCCTCTGTCCCAAACATTTGAATTTTTTTTAAGTAAAAATAGACTAAAAGCTGGACACAGTAGCATTAGTGTCTAATCCCAGTGCACCTACAGGAAATGAGAAGTGTGGATAGGAGAATCCCCAGAAGCTCCAGGGCCAGCTACCCTGGGTAATGCAGTGGCAAAGACACCCTAGGACTGACATCAGAAGCCTGTTTTCTGATTGCCACATACATACTGTGGCATGTTAGCACCTACAGGCTCCCTGTCCCCAACACTAAGGCAAATCAAAACCATGTATCTATTCCTAAGGTGGTGGAAAAATTCTGACATAGAATATCAGAAATATGACTTATGGAGATTACTTTATAAGGGTTATCTTTAACTCATCAATACAGCTTTCTAATTAACTCATTGATATAGTCTTCTAAAGACAAGAGTGAAAATATAGCCTTGAAATAGTAGCAGTATTTCTTAGAGACTTTTTACTTGGACACAAGTTAAATTGTTGCTTTGTTAGCAGTGGAATCAGAAAGTGACTTTTTTTTCCCAGCAAAGAAATGGTAAGAGGGTTTCTAAAGTTAGGAAACAAAATGCTGTGTAAGCAGGTAGTTTTGAATTAAAAAAAAAAAAAAAAAAACAGGGTAGAGTTTTAATTTCCTAAAGTCATGAAAACATCATGCCGATAGCCATAATTACAGAGGAAGTTTGTGGTGAGGGACTTGGTGTGATGGATTACCAGAAGAAAAACTAAGGAAGAATGTGGTAAGAATACAAAATGTGATTGAATTTAAAAGACTCAAAAGACTGAATGAAGTAGAGTCACAGAGTGATGAATGGCGTTAACAAAATGACCAGAAGTAGAGTGAGTGCCAGCGAGCTTCCTCTAGCTCTAAAGATGTAGAAGGAATGGTTTGTATATTTCTAAGTTTGGGGACTTTGATACAAGGTTCTTTTTTTCTATGATATAGAGTAAGCTATATGTTTTTGTGTCCTATGTATTTTATAGACCTGCCCCCAGTCCTTGGAAAATTCTAAGGCACTAACTAACATTCTTCTCATTACCCACACAATGAGGGTAACATTAAAACAAGAAAAGAATATAATATGGTTGTCTTTTAGGATGATGAAAACATTTATGCATTAGGATAGAATCCTTTTTTTTTCCTTTGAAATATTTTAAGAACCAAGGGGATAATTATGTTTAGATATAATACAATGTGAAGGTTGGGAGAGGAATAGACCAACATTACTCAGACTTTTTGATTTAATGGACTTTAAAAAATAACAGTGCTAATGATAATGGTATAGAATAGTTAAGACTGAAGCAGGAGTTTGTCTCAAAAACAAACAAACAAAACCAAATAAATAGTGGAGAATATTATGTTTGCTAGGAATGCTTAAAAAGTTTAAATCCTTACATTTTTATTTCATGTTTATACAAAAAAATTTAGAAAAGTCATGGTCTTGCTTTTTGTTTGTTTTTCAAGACAGGGTTTTCTTTGTGTAGACCCAACTGTCCCAGAACTCACTATTTAGAACCAGCTGGCCTCCAACTCACAGAAATCTTGTCTGCCTCTGCCTCCCAAGGGCTGGGACTAAAGGCATGGGCCACCACTGCCTGGCTAGTCTTTTAATAAAAGATGGTCTTTAACTTTGATATAGCCTCATGTATCACAGGCTAGCCTCAAAAGTAGCCAAGGGTAACCTTAAATTCCTGACCCTCTAGCCTGTACCTTCTCAGTGCTGTAATTACAAGTATACACTGATTTATGGGTGCTCGAGAATGAACTCTAGTCCTGTAAACCAAACATATCCAACTTTATAAAAAGTGTATTACATACTGCAGATAGTAAAATTTTCAACACAGATAACACACTTTCAAGTACCCGCCACCTCCCATATCGGGGAAGGAAGTAGTTAGGCAAAATTAACAAAAGGAAACAAAACAAAACAAAAACAAAAGACCACGTGTTAAATAACAGCCTTTTAAAATGTAGAATTATGTGCTCAAGGTTCATGGAAGCATGCCATTGACCTTTGCTTTATGGGGAAATATACCGTTTCTGCACCAGGTTGATTAACCGGAAAGAGTTTAGGAAGTTTGTCTGTGAAGCCACAGGTCAAAGGCGGCATGCAAAAGTACCCAGTAAAGTTAAGCCACGAGTGTGTGAACCACGTGAATTACTAAGTACTTTCTGAACGCTAATTAGGCCAGCTACACTTACTGACATATCCATAAATGTATTTTCTTTAAGGGCATGATTCAGAGTTTGGCGGCATTAAAGACATAGAGGGACACCAATGGAGACTGTGGGCTAGAGGAACCAGTTGAGACACCCTACACCGGACAAGCACGCCCTTTCCTGAGAGGAGCAGGGGAAAATATTTAATGCTCCTCTGCTGAGACTCCTGGCCCTGGCACATGCCTGGCTGCCCCTGGCAAGGCCTCTGTCCTTCCGAGCGAGAGACTAGTTTTGAAGTTTACTCTGACTTCCCCACAGTGTGGGAAGCAGGCTGTCTGTTTCTCGAAGGTTCTGAGTCGAGAGTAAAAGGCGGGACATAAGCGAAAGCGAGGCTCCAAGCAGTCCAAGCCAGCGAGGCTGTCACGTGACTTGCACGCGCGCGCTGCCTGCCGGGAGCTGTGCACCGGGGCGCCTGCGCAGAGGAGCACGAAGCCTTCGCTGTTGCGCCGCCCGCCCGTTCTGAGGAGACAGGTCGTGGTCGAATCTCCGATCCCGAGCGCGACAAGAGGGTGAGCGCGCGGCAGGGAAATGGAGTGGGAAGGAAAGCAGTGGAGTGGGGCTGGCGCCTGGTGTGGGGTGGGCCTCGGGGTGCAAACCGGAAGGTGTGAGAGAGGCGAGGGAAAGAGGCGGGGAAATGGCGTGAGGCGACAGGAGCGCTGTGAAGAGGGCACGGCCGGCCGAGCGGAGCGCTGGAGTCCCCGCTCGGAGCCCGGGGACAGGAGGATTGCTGAGAGTTTGAGGCCAGCCTCTGCTATCCAGTGAGTTCCAGACTAGCTTGGTTTATGTGGTGAGTTTCAGTCCGGAAAACCTGAAAGCAAACCAGCCACCTCCCGCACAAGAAAAACCTACACAAACAATAGCAAACAGTTGCACAAGGGAACGCCTTAGATGATATAGCCCTATATTTTCACAGGGTGAGGACTGCCTGTTAACTCAGACTTTGGCTATTTAGGAGTCTTAAATTATGACAGAAATCACTTTTACAAACACAGAATTGACTAATTATACGTGTGTGTGTGTGTGTGTGTGTGTGTGTGTGTGTGTGTGTGTGTACATGTTAGTTTGAGAAAAGAAAGAAGCAGAAAAGGGAAAACCTTTTGCCTTGTGTGGTTTCCCTGAAATACTTTTGGAATCTTTAGGAACCTCAGTGCATATATGCGTGCATTTTCTGCATGTTACTAGGCTAGATTAATACCATGAAGGTGGTAGGCATTTGGAAGTACTGTGCTGAAGTTAGAAGTGTCTTCATAATCTGCTTTTTGCTCTTGTTGCCATCATATGCATATATAAGTATGTATGTGTGTATATATATATATATATATATATACATATATGTATATATATATATATATGAACCCAGATTCTCTATATTTTTAATCTAACTTATGATATCTAAGAGAAATAGCCAGGTGTGCAGCGAAAGTCTTTAATCCCAGCATTCTGGCAGCAGAGGCAGGCAAATTCCTGCGTTAGAGGTTAACCTGATCTACAAAGAGAGTTCTAGGATAGCTAGGGCTACACAGAGAGACCTGTCTCAAAAAACAATCAAAAAAAGAGAAACAAATACTTTGAATGTAAAAAGTTATTCAACTCTAAGATATAAAGACCATTCCTTTAAATTCCAATGTCTTTTGAAGTTTAAACCTTAACAGTTCAGATTCTTAGGAAAATAGCTTTAGAATTTATTTGATGCCATATTAAGGTACAGGTAGGACAATGGAAACAATCTCAGACAAGAAGAATGAAGAGATCCTGTTTCTGGGATAGTCTAGTTTTATTTGTTTAAATGTGATCAACCATCTCTGGAGTTCTCCTCTTTCTTCCTTCTTAAAAGGAGCTCTAACCTCTACTTTTAAAAAATTTATTCTTCTCTCACATATTACATTCCTACTCAGTTTCCCACCCTCTGTTCCTCCAAGCCTCTCCCTCCCACCTCCCCTCTCACCCAGATTCACTCTTCCTCCATTTCCCTTCAGAAAAGAGCAGGCCTTCCAGGGATCTCAATCAAATATGGCATAACAAGTTAGAATAAAATCACACACAAACCTTCATATCAAGGCTGGACGAGGCAACTCAGAGGGAGGAAAAGGGTCCCAAGAGCATCTAACTTCTAATTTTAACATTTAAATTTTATAGAGAGAAGAATCTTAAGTGTTCTAATGCTAAAACAAGATAGAATTGCTATGAGGTTAGTTGAGTTCATTTCATATAGACAAGTAGTTGAAAGTGGTCTAGAATATTGAATGACCTTGGATGCCATGTGATAAAACTTGAATTTACTGACCCAGCAGGTTTTTGAATGAAAAGTTTTGAGAGGTAGGATGAAAAAGAGAATGGAGAAATTAAAATTAGGTGGCAGATTGGGAGAGCAGAAATTAATGATGATAGAAGTGGGAAAAGGACATGGGTGAAGAAGACTGTAGTAATGTGGAGTTCGTACCTAAATTTGACAAACCTCTAAACTTTATAGCCTGTGCCTCCAGAGGATGATGGCAAACCACTTTGTAAACCCTGATTCTAGAAACTGCAAGAGATCAAGAGAACTGGAGGTAAGCTTTATGCTCTTGCAGCATTTCATTGCATTGTACCTATTTCTGGTTTCTTTTCTTCAAGAGAGTGCCATCCTTAAGTAAAACTTAGTGTTCTCATAGTCAACATAGGGCTATGTTGACTCCACCTAGCTTTTCCACTAAGAATAGACCTATAAATATATCCTTAGGGATTTTTTTCTTGGTAGTTGATGACCTTAAAATTAACCAAAGTGAGTCCGTGTCTTTTTGGTACATGGGACTTTACTTGCATAATTATTTGCTAAGATGAGTAAAATTCTAACATGCTGTAGGCAGGTCTGGGGATTGTACTTAGGTCATCAGATTTCAGTGGTTAGTGCTTTCTTTCACTGCTGAGCCATCTTGCCAGTCTCTGTATTGCAAAATTTTCAACCATTTGACTGTTGTTTAAGTTACAGTTATCATGTTAGAAATACATCCACTGGTGCAAGATACAAGACTGGTTTTTTTATTAAGAGTTAAAAGCCATTTTCAAAATTTGAAAACTACAAAACTCAGTGTTTTGAGCCAGGTGTCTCTTGTGTCTAAAGATTTCTTTGATGACAAAAATGTAAATGACGGGTATAGAATCTTTAGTGTGTCTTTTTCAGTGCTTTCCTAGGCTAGTGTTTTCCCACTGAATTAATCCCCAGCTCCAAACCTACAGTTTCATTTCTAATTCTGAAATACTTGGAATTGAACCTACAGCCTTAAGGATGCTAGACAAACATTGTAGTACAGAACTGGATCCCAGACCCCTCTGAAAAGGTTTGGTGTGTTTTTTAATGAGCAGAATATATGTGTCTTAAAGATCTTACCATTGATCTGTTTTCTTTCTTTTCTTAGCCCCAAGTGTCAGATAATGCACAGGTACCCTCACTTGGAAAATCAGATTCTTCTTTCGCTGAAAGTTCTGGACTCCTTTATAAAGAGGACGCCCTGGAGAAGGATTTGAGCGGTGATGTATAAATAATGTTTGTATTTATGTGTATTGACTATATCATGCAGAAGCTTTGTTAGATTTTATAACGTACTCAATTTTTTTTAACAGATATGAGCAAGGAAATTAATCTGATGTTGTCTACATATGCAAAAATTTTAAGGTAAGTAATTATGATACTGTTTGAGTATTTTTGTTAGAAACCCCTTTGTCCTGAAAAATCAGTAGTAAAAAATTTAATTCCATGGCTTAAAAATCTATCTGACAATTAGAAATTTGAAGTTACAATTTTATCTCAATTCCTTATAATAGATGAGTAGATTATTTTAAGGGAGTAATCCCTAATTGTCCAAACATAGATTGTCATGTTTCTAGCACTAATACTAGAATGGATGTATTTTGGTTTCTAGATGGTATTATCTTTAAATTTTTATTCAGATATCTCTCTGAGAATAGTATTTTTTGGTGAAATTAGTGTTAATGGGGTTGTGTTAAAGATAAATATTTCATATATTTATATTTTATTAGTATACATTTCAAGACTGAATTTAAATATTGGCCTGAGAATTTGTAGTATTACCAGGTGGTTTGTAAGCTACTGGACAATCACTATACCTGCATAATAGTTTGTTTAATTTAATAATTTATAAAATTTATAATAAAAGGTAACTATATAAGATTCACTTTTTGTGTGTCAGGAGACTTTTTAAGTAGTCAAAAGTATTTGCTGGACTGATTTAACTTTTTTCTTGAAGAATATTAGTAAATTAATTAAGCTCTATCATAGCAAAGCCATGAAACTGAAATAGCTAACAAATACAGTATAAAGAACATGGCAATGATGGCACATCTAGACTTTATAATTCATTTTAATATCAAGCCTTTTTTCCTATTAGTGAAAGAGCAGCAGTAGATGCATCTTATATTGACGAGTTAGATGGACTCTTCAAAGAAGCCAATATTATTGAAAACTTTCTGGTACAAAAAAGAGAGTTCCTGAAGCAGAGGTTTACAGTAATTACCAACACCCTGCACAAGTAAAATACCTGTACCAACTGAAAGTCGGTTCCTATTATTGCTGTATCCTACTTATTAAAGAAAATATATGTAGTAAACTGTAACTTTTTATAAATTTAAAAGGGGTTTTAAAGATGAACAGTAATATAAAGTTTGTAATCTTTCTTTTGAGGATCAAATATTTGGCACATTATATAAAAATGTAAATTAAAAATTATATATGTGTTGTTTTCTTTCTCCTTTACTCCTAAATTGCATAATCCTTCTTAAATTGTGAACGAGGACTCTGTTAATTTGATTATGCCTAACAATGTTTGTTTAAATACCAGCTAGTTTTAAAATGTTTTTCTTGGTTAATATTATAAAACATTAAACATTAAAGGTAATTTGTCCAGTTTTTCAACAAATAATAAAATATAACTATGTGCTACTGCTATTTAATATTACCATTTAATTATTTTTACTCTTAATCACATATTTGACTAATGAAAATTTGGCTTGAAACATTTTCATGTAATAAAAATAATAAAATAAAAATTGGAAAGTTGCTATAACCTGGCTATTTTTTTTTTAATTGTCATGCTCCATGGGACCCAGGTGAGTTCATGGTACATCTGCCTCAACCTCCTTAGATCAACACTAAAGTTATGTACCACCAAGTCTGACTGTCCATAAAGTTGATGAATTATATTTAGAAAACTTAGCTGTGGGGTTGATGAGATGGAGATTAGCAATGTGGAACTCAGGATGTCAAGTTACACATGGCTTTGGCAGACCCCTTCAATCCTATGAAAATGTGAAGTTGAATTTGGTTTAGAGGATCTCTTATCATACTAAGTAACTTCTCTTTTTATACAAATAAAATATAGTTATGATTTTATTCAAAATGACCTATGTCATATATAACTACATTAGTTGGATCAAAAAAAGTTGTAAACTCTGCTTTCAATCATAGACAGTTTGGTCTTCCTTGTGTTTATTTTCCAATATAAGGAATTAGAACTTGGGTACATTTGCATAGGACACCACAAGGAATGTGTATTTTTAAATTAGGCAGAATCTTACCTTGCTGCCTATAAACTTCAAAATAAATTTTTATTTCATCAGGTTTCTTGTTTGTTTACTTGAGGCAGAAATCTGTGTAGCCCTGGCTGGTCTAGAGCTCACTATGTAGGCCAATCTGACCTTGAACCCTCAGAGAGATCTAGCTGCCTCTACCTCCAGAGTGTTTGTATTAAAAGAAAAAGAAAGGAAAGAAAGAAAAGGAATGGGGTGCTGAATCCTATGTCTTGGTAATTTTACTTCCTAGCAGTGTTAGCTACTTAGATTCTCAAAGATACTTGAGAAAGTACTTCATGGTGTCATCTCTGTGCTTTATTGTGAGAAAATGATTTTTATAAGATTAGGGAACACAGAAGAAAAGGGATTAAATTTAAGCGAGAAGGGTGAGCTGTGGCCTGCTGGTCTAAATGTGGACTTTATACTGTGTTTGAATCATTCAGAAGGAGAGAAGTTGTGTAATGAACCTCTGAATGTGGTTCCATGGACTTAAGTACAAGTGGGGGGCAGATTCCAGAAAGGGATGGCCAAGGAGGGAGAATACAATTGGTCTGATTTTAATGTTGAAACAAAGATACTTATCATCGTTGGCTGGGATACATGCCATGGAATTGAGACTAAGTTTACCAGTGTTTTGAGGCCCCACCTCTTGCCTGTCCTGCTCCAATTCCCATATTGTCACAGAGCCAGAGACAACTCAGGCTCATTATTTACTCAGTAAGGCCAGTGGCTTTGGATTTGGAAATCTTGAGACCTGCCTGCTGTCCCTGAACTGAATGAAAGTTTCCTCAAATCTTTCTTCGTTCCCCCAGCGACCTTCTTGCCACTTCAGTGCACCAGCTCCCAGGTAGGGAACTCCCCCAACCGCTCCCTTTCCTGGTCCCTTCTTACCAATCTGCAGGTAGACTGCTGTGCCTGGTGTCCTGAAGATTATGGCCGGCTTCTGAAGTTATTCCCTCTGTGATGCAAACAGCAACTCCACCGAGGGAGAAGTGAAAGTAGGCTGACAGAATTGGTTTACTCATCGTAAACAGTCATTGTGTTCACTCAGTTAAAGCAACAAACTGGGGCAGGATTAGGCCTACAGATTTTTCTTGGTTGCCTCATCAGAAGGGGTTTTCTCTTTTCTGACTTTTCCCAACTGAAAACCATTACTTTGTATTCTGATGAAAATATTTGGTTCTCCTGTTTGCATTCTCTGAACTGGTTTCAAACTCTCTTGTTTTCTTTTGTAGTTTTCTATTATAGCTAGTATTTCAAGAATTTGTTTTTAGGAATCTGTTGATATTGAACTTCCAGAAGTTACATTGACATACACAGTAAATTATAAAATTATCTAATCATTTAGTGCTTGCAGTGTTTAAGGCAGTGTGTTAGGTGCTAGGACAGGGGAGATGTAAGCTAGACTTTGTGTTCCAGGTGTACTGCTAGGAGAGGTTGTAAAGAATACTTATCTTTATCACACAAGACAGCAAGATAAGGAGCACAGGAAAGCTATCAACAGCTTCAGTGAGGAAATGGGGCTGTGGCGCTTAGGAAGCAGGTGACCCTGAAACTGGAGTTTGGAGGTTAAATTACATGTGCAAATTTCATATAAAAGAGATGGGGAATATTCTGGCTATGAGAAGAGATTGGAGAGTAGTCCATTTGGGCTGGAATAAACAGCTAGGTTGGGCTGAGACTATACAAGGCTTTCAAGTACATGGTCAGTCAGATTCAACAATGACAAGTGACTTGTGAGTTATGGAGGGATAAATGATACAGCCAGATTTGTATGTAGGAAATTTGATTTAGTAGTAGTGCATCTCTGCCTTTTCCATATCATTGCACTGGTGGAAAACACTCTCCCCTGCTCATCCAGATAGACTAGAATCTGTAGTCCTCATGAGCTATTAGGAGCTGGAGGCAATTGGCCTAATGTTTCCAACCTTTAAGATGAGCTCAAGTGACTCACTAAGTAGGATGTTCTGGTGTGTAGAAGACTTCATTCCTCACTGAGTTTCTCTTTCCAGTTTCTCCTCCAGCTGGGAGGCTGTTAATCCAGTTAAGAGTCAAGGGCCTAAGTTAGGCAGTAGGAAGGAAGTGACATATAAGAAAGAGAAGTTGAGGCATCTGTGCTGAGGAAGATGTGCTTGGGTCAGGAAAAAAATGTGTAGTCCCAAGAAGGAGAGACTGGTGAAAATAAAGTTACCCATGCAAAATTTTGAGTTTGGGAAATTTATACATAAACCACAAAAGTCTTCTTTTTCAGATTTCCCCTACTGGCCCTGTGCCGCTGTGGTCAGAAGAAATGTGTTGTAAGGTCAGGGAACAAGATGAGTTCAGTGCCCACAGAGACTGAAGTGCAGAGGTGTTTCAGCTGCTGGAAGAACGGATTCAGAAGAGAAGGTGAAGGGTTGAGAGTCATGTCTAAGACATAACTGGAGAATTAAGAGCCAAGATGAGATTACTAAGGAGAATACTGAAATTAAAGAGTAAAGGTCCAAGGTTATTCCTTGACATTTATGTGGTGATAAGAGGGAAAGGATCAGTAAAAGAGATTAACATTTGCAAAGTATTATTATATTTAATTATGATGATAGATATAAGCAGGAATCATTAACTTCTCTTAATCCTTATTTTATCTTGGAAAAACTTGAGCTGCCTAAGGTTGCCAGCTGATGAATAAGGAAGCTGACAAAATGCAGCATAGTTAGAGGGCAACAAAGTTAAAACGCAATTAAATGTTAGAATAGCTTGTCTCCCAAGTCAAAAACAGAAACAGATATAAGGGGATGATAGCAAGCATATCAAATACTACAAGAATTTTGAAGAGTGTAAGATTGCCAATAACATGGAGTGTAGAGCATACAGATACCTAAATATAATCTAAAATGAAGGGCCCAGAGAGATGACTTAGTGTTTCATAGCACTGGGTTCAAGTCCCGACATACACATGGTGGCTCACAACCATCCTTCATTCCAGTTCCAGGGCATCCAAAACTCTCTACTGACCTCTGAGTGCATCAGGCATGCACATAATACAAAGTCATGCAACATGAAATATTTACAATTCATGTGTAACTGTTCAGTGTAACTCTATGTAAAATAGATAATCTGCTTTTTAATTCAGGGATTTTAGTCTGATAGGAGAATAAGATAAATTCACTACTGTTTATAAAAGTAGAGTAAGAAAAAAAACCCAAGATTTCTCTTTTTTTCCAAAGCATTTCTTAATACCCCTAAATACTATCTATCGTTCCCACCTTTTTGTATACCTGCTTGCTTCACCCCAGAGACTATGTATTTTTATGTATGGAGTGGAATCTAGGAATTTGGATTTTAGCTCCTGTACCAGAGAGTAACAGGGTTGTATTTTTGTTGCACAGTCTTCAGACAGGACAGAGGCACTGGAGTGACTCATCTGACCCCTTAGGCAACAAGTTCCTCTTGTTGAGTTTGGAGGCTTTTTAGGCTTTCAGCAATGTCTATCTCTTTGTTGAAAAACTAAAATAATTCAAAGGAAGAAAATCTGTAGTGCATCTTACTACATTGATCATTAGTGGTTAAAGAAATAATACAAAATATTTGGAAGATTATGTATTGTGTTTTAAAGCTTCCCCTAAACTTGCATGGTCACTTATTTTTTAGGCATGGTAAGAATTTTTATTTCTGTCTTAGAAAAGAAGAAAAATCCACAGAGAGGTTAAAAAAAAACTTTAGAAACAATTTAAGAGTTGAACCTAGATACTCTATGTTCTTTACAGGACATAACATTTGAGTTAGATCTTGAACAACAGGTAGAATTCTCTTTACTTTTTCTGGTGTGTGTGTGTGTGTGTGTGTGTGTGTGTGTGTGTGTGTGTGTGTTTGTATGTATGTGTGCATAGGCGGAAGAGAAGCTTGGGTTGGTAGCAGGTGTCTTCCTCAGTTTCTTTCCACCTTTATTTTTTGAGACACAATCTCTCTCTGACCCTGAAGCTGACAACTAATTGGGCTAGACTGGCTGGCCAGCAAACCATAGACTCTTCCACTGTCCCATTGCTAGTGTAACAAGGCTTGCTGCTACACCCAATGTTAATGTTGTTCTTTATGTGGGTGTTGGAATTGAACCCGTGCCCCATGCTTGCACAGTAAGCAGTTTATTGGCTGAGCTACCTTCAAGTCCTCCTACTTTCCCTGCTCCCCTCCCACTGTGCTAAGACAGTCTCTTACTCTGTGGCCAAGGCTGGCCTCATATGCTCCTCCTTTACTTTTTGAGTGCTGGGATTACATTTATGTGCCACCACAACTGCCAGACATTCTTCATGTCTTCCTTATTTTATTCTTCAGTATTGGGATCCAACACTTCCCCTTGTACATGTTGAGGAAGAAGCACTTATGCCCTGGCCTATATCCTCAGCTGTAATTTTCTTAGGGAGAAGCCCAAGGAAGGGCATTCAGGGTGAAATAAATGTTGTTTTGGAAAACAAGAAAGAGCTAAGCCTGACTGAATTGTTATATTTAGGAAAGTAAAAGGTCACATGTGCTTCAAACTTAATATTTCAAAGAATTGGGCTATATATTATAAAATAAATTGCCAAAAAAAGATATACATCTCAGGTCTTTGGATGTCTGTCTGATATCTTTTTTCTAGTCTAGACTTCTGTACCTCTGAGAAAACCTCTATGAAGTAAAGGATTGTAGCCAGTATTACAAATAACTTTGTTATAACTGAAGTTATATTTGATCACACCTCTCTGCATTCATTCACTACTATCTAGTAAAGTCTTGTAAGTATGAAATAACAGGGATGATGTGAAATGTCATCCTGATTTATAGGATGGGACTTTACTCTTATAGCTTATTGATTTCATATAATTTTATAGAATATTAGTGGATAATTCATGATACCTTTCTCCTAGATGTTATGCACTTTCATATATATATACACATATATGCATATATATATATATACACATAGGTACATATATACACATATATATGAAATTAAATCTAAATCCTGCTAAAAACATGGATACTACAGTGCTATCTTTGGGGTTATATTATGGCTTATGTGAGGTACCATGATCAGTGTAACTATGGTAATATTGAATGGCCACCATTTTTGCTCTAACAGCTAAATTGCTTTTATCACATCTGGGGTTAACATGTGGAGTTAATCTAGAAAAAGAAAAGCATTGTTCAACTATGAGAAATGGCAATAGTAGTAATTAAAGTATTGAGTTAACACACGTGTGTCCTTGTGTCCGTGGGGGAATAAACACGTTATCAAGAGGTCCTGTGACTGTGTATGTGTGTGTATGTGTGTGCATATGTGTGTGCATATGTGTGTGCTTGTGTCTATAGGGGAATAAGCACATTAACAAGAGATCATGTAACAATGTGTGTGAGCACGTGTACATGTGTGTGTTCTTTTTGCTTCTGTTTCACAGTTTTGAAGAAGTAGGTGGGAAATACTCAACAAAACCATGTTGAGACAGCGCAAAAGTCTACCGTGCATTGCCCCGCTGTTGACCACTGTAGAAGAGACTCTGGACACTGTGTCTGCTCAAGTCCGAGGACACATTCCTGAATGGCTCAATGGTTATCTACTTCGAGTTGGACCCGGGAAGTTTGAGTTTGGAAATGATAAGTAAGCCCAGATTTTGGACTGATCTGGGCTTCATGGTGTGGTTTGATTCTATGGAAGATACATTCAACTACCTTTCTTCACTGTGGTGATTGCTCTAGCCCTTTGATTATAGACAGGGAAATTGTTGCCTAGAGAAGGAAAAAAAAGTTTTTTTTTTTAAACCATTTTGTACACACACACACACACCAGCACAAATTGTGAATTTGAAGTTCTCTTTGGGTTTATGCCCCAAGAGAGCCCAAGGGTCTCTGTGAGAGTACCGAGATATTTCACCATAAGGTCCTGAAGGAAGGGCAGACACTGCCTTCACCTCCTACCTCTTTGTCTGCCACCCAAACCTCCCAGACACAATGGCCTCTCTTTCAGTTCCTCATATTTTTGCTCAGTATCTTGGCATTGATGCTTTCTTACTGTCTTACCTCATTTCTCAGACCTGATTTTTGTCCTGATGTCAACTTCAATCTCACTTCCTTTAACTCCTCCTGTGACTTCTCATTCTATAAGCACCAGACTGTATTGCCAGTTTTATATACAGCACTGTCGTTGGCAGTGTCTGTTTACTCTGTTGGTTTCTTTTTTAAAATGACTTATTTATCATTTATTTTATTTGTTTGTTTTGTGTACTTGTAAGTATATATATCCTGTATATGCCTGGTGCCCACAAAGATCAGAAGAGGGTATTAGATCCCCCAGAAACTGGAGTTATGGATGATTGTGAGCCATCATGTGGGTTCAGGGACTAAGCCCATGTCCTCTGTAAGAGCAACAAGCACTATTAACTGCTGAACCATTTCTCCAGCCTTGTTTGTTTTTCCTTGCTTATGTATTTTAACTGTGTTCCTCTGCTAGGATATAAGTTCCACGAGGGAAGAAATGCTTCCTAATATTTCCAAATGTTCCCAATATCAATACCCTGTACCTATAGATAGCTAGCACTCAGTATGTAGATGCACTAGGTGAAAACCCAGTAAATCTTTAGGATATCATTTCTTTGTATGAGATGATGGGCACACATGTCAATAGCTAGGGAGTAATCTTCTTTGTAACATTTTTAAGTGTTGGAAAATTTTTGCATGAAAATTCGACATATAGCAAAGTTATTGGGGTGGTGTAGGGATGGGCATGTATTACCTGATATATTCTCTCTTAGCAATTTATGTTACTCTATGCCAGTCTTCCTCACAATTTCTATAGACTTGTTTGTTAAAAATAGCAATCATCTGGGGACCTGGAGGGCTGGCTCAGTGGTTTAGAGCACTTGTTGCTTTTGCAGAGGACCTGTGTTTGAGCCCTAGCACCATATAACTTAACAACACTCTGTAACTTCAGTTCCAGAGTATCTGATGCCCTCTTCTGACCTCCCAGGCATGCACATGGTACACACATATACATGCAAACAAAACATTAATATACATGAAACAAAATATAAATCAAAACAAATTCAATAAGAAAAGAATTTAGGCAGTGGTGGCACACACCTTTAATCCCAGCACTCAGGAGGCAGAGGCAGGTGGATCTCTGTGAGTTCAAGGCTAGCCTGGTCTACAAAGCTACACAAAGAAACCCTGTCTCAAAAAATTCACCCAAAAAGAAGACAAGAATTGCAATCACTTTGCTTTTTAAAAATGTATGCTATCACAGAAGCAAGATAGCTTGGTGAGTAAAGGTATTTGCTAACAAGCATGATGAACCAAGTACAGCCTACATAGTCAAAGGAAAGAACCAACTCCAACAAGTTGTCCTTTGACTGTCACATATGTTCTGTGACATATGTGTGTAAACACATACACACTTAAAATTTACACTCTGGTAGCTTTATGTTGCATATATATGTGTGTGTATATATATATATATATATATATTCATAAGCTTACTATCTTAACTACCTACAAGGGTACAAAGGGTACAGTTCAGCGGCCTTGAGTTCATTCATTCTGTTGTGCCACTGTCATTACCTCCATCCACAGAACTCATTTCACTTTACAGAATTGAGCGTTCTACTGTAAGAGTTAATCCCTTCCTTTCCTCCTTTTCCCTGCCAACTACCATTCTACTTTTCTGTCAGCTACACTAGAGCGTGTGTCTGGCTATCACAGTCCATCACACCTCTTCATCTATTTGTGGAAATAAGGCAAGGGGCAAGAGACTGAGATATTCTCAGGATAATTTTAAGATATATGTTTCATACTTGCAGACATTTTAATTTGCTGGCCATGTCTTCAGTGAATAGTATGCATGAAATGCAGCGGAGCGCCCCACCCAACTGCTACAAGAGGCATTCAAGTAGTTACTTTAGAGGTCAGGTTGCTAGTGGGTGGAGAGAGGATGGAGGCTGAGATAGAGGTTGAAAGTGGAGGAAAAATCAAAGTACACAGACCAATAGGTAACATAGTGTAAAAGGACAAGTGGGAGAGCACAAATAGAAAAACTGAGAGAGAACAAAGAAGTAGCCATTGAAACAGAAAAAAAGCTGTAGGAGAGTTTGTAGGTCTCAATACAAATACATATGAAAACCTTGAATAACTTTCTAGGGAATATGAATTCCTGGAATGGGTAGAAATAGAAAATTTCAGCACATTGACCTTTAGATAGATAAATACACTATTAAGTATGTACTTTAAAAAAAAGACATAAGGCTTAGACTATTTCAAAGATGATTCTACCAAAAATGCATATATGAGGTAGGCTGATACTGTTTTATAAATTATTTTAGGGTCCCGGAGATGGAAGAAAATGTCCCAGTCGACTTTAGGAGAGAAGCATCATTTCAATATATAAAGACAGTGCAAGAAAGGAAACATCAGCCAGTGTTGGTAACACATGCCTTTAATCCCAGCACTGAGGAGGCAGAGGCAGGCAGATGTCTGTGAGTTTGAGGCCAGCCTGGTCTACAGAGCCAGTTCCAGGACAGGCTCCAAAGCAATACAGAGAAACCCTGTCTCAACCAAAAAAAAAAAAAAAAAAAAAAAAAAAAAAGAAAGGAAACATCAAACTATTTATAAGTACATATGCAAAAAAAAAAAAAAAAAACCCAAGACATTTAGACAGTAATTTGACACTAATGAATTGTTTACTAACCAACAGAATCTAGCATCACATTACAAATAAAATTCACAAAATCAAGTAGACTTAAGTCCAAGAAAGCAAAGCTGGCTCATCAATAGGAAATTTACCCATATCACATTAATAACTGGTCAGGAAAAATAGTTATAGGATTATCTTCATAGGTGCTGAGAAGACTTTTTGTCTAAATTCATTATTTCTCATAAAATGTCCCAGGAAAATCAGACTTAACAGATAGTTTCTTCTTTTTGTTTTGTTTTTCAGATAGTTTCTTAATATGACTTCATAATATGTTTTTTTGAGACTGGTTTTCTCAGTGTAACAGCCCTAGCTGTTCTGGAACACCCTCTGTAGACCAGGCTGGCCTTGGGATCTACCTATATCTGAGATCTGCCTACCTCTGTCTCCTGAGTGCTGGGACTAAAGGCATGCATCACCACCACCTAGTTGGTTTTCTTCCTTTTTAGTGCTAGATAATATGTTGTGTATTGTAGAGAAGGTAAATTTTTCTCCTCATCCTCTTGTGGTCTTCACTAGTCCCAAGAATTAAATCAGCAATTGGGAGGATTGATAGTGGCGGGGGGGGGGGGAGAGAATGTCATATAAATTTTGTTTGCTAATGTTTGTTTGTATGTACTTGGGAACCCGTAGAAGAAAAATGAAGACCTATTGAGTGTGGTGCAGGCCTATGATCTAGTACTTGGGAAGCTGGGGCAGGGAGATAACAAGTTTGAAGTTAGCATCATCTACATAGCAAGTTCAAGGCTAGCCTGGGTTATGTAGGCAGGCCCTGTCACAAGCAAACAACACACACACACACACACACACACACACACACACACACACACACACACACACACACAGAGGGCAGGGGAAGAATCATCTAGTGCTAAAGCCTGGATAGTAGTTGGACTCCATAATAGTAAATTGTGAGAATGTGACAAGAGTTGGAGCTAGGGCAGTTAGTTGTGGGAAAGTGACTGTCAAAGTGAGTGAATGTTTAGCCAGGTTATACTGTTTTCTCTTTGTTTCAACTTTGTCTCCAGGTACAGGGATGTATGTCTGTCTTCTTTCTGATGCAGGGAGACAATTTTTCATGAGGGAGTTTTATTTCCCACTGTTGGAAAGAAAATAGAAGGCCATAGTGCTCATCTGCAGCTGATGATTCTCAAGTGTTTCAAACTCAGAATAATGTGTCAAAGTGGCATATTTGGGGGTAACATACGTGAACCTCTACAACTGTTTTATTTTTAGTCATCAGTAGATACTTTTATCCTGTCTTTTGTCTTTTTGAGTAATGTTGACTTGAGCCTGAGTGAACAAAGACAAGCCCTGATTTCAGGAACCATTCTTTTCAGACAATATACTAGGAATTGCCTATTAAAGTGATAGAGCAGGATTGGCAAGATGATGCAGAGGGTAAAGGTACATGATTCCAAGGCTGATAACCTGATTTCAATCCCCAGAAAGGATGGAAGGAGAAAACAGACTCCTGCATGCTGCTCTCTGACCTCCACACATATACCTTGGTTCATGTAAAAATAAAAATTAATACATGGAACATCAAAGACCTGTAAACAAAAAAAAAAATGGAGCCTTGTTTTCAAAGAAACAATCACAGCCTATATAATGAAACATATCTGTGATTTCAACACTGGAGAGGTAGATACAGGAGAACTATGAATTTAAAACCACCATTAGCTAAAACCCTGTCTCAATAATTAATTAATTAATAAACAAAGAGCTATTATGTGATCCATTCTTCCTTGTGTTTGACAGATTAAATGCTTGATATTATCAGCATAGGCAAGGAAGGTTAACATCATTGTCGGGGCCAGGAGAATGCAAGTAGCTCTTTCCTGTTGTAACCCAGGGAATTCAGAACACTGGCATTCCTTAATTTCAAAATCTCTGAGTTATTGGTTGGTGCTGGGGACACATTGCTTACCTTTATTTTTTGATAGTAGAAATATCATTTTGATCCCATGCTTTTCTTACTCATAAATTAGTTTCTATTGTTTCCTCCTGTTGGCAGCTACAATCACTGGTTTGATGGAATGGCTTTGCTTCACCAGTTTAGAATGGAGAAGGGCACAGTGACGTACAGGAGCAGGTTTCTACAGAGTGACACATACAAGGCCAACAGTGCTGGAGATAGAATTGTGATCTCAGAATTTGGCACACTGGCTCTTCCTGACCCGTGCAAGAATATCTTTGAACGTTTCATGTCAAGGTTTGAACCTCCTGGTAAGGACCCCTTAAAATGTCAGTGGTCATCATTTAAATTAGTATCTATAAAAATAGAAGTCTTGAAGGGTATATATTTTAAAAATACATTTTAATTCATATGCATGGGTGTTCATGCAGGCCAGAAGAAGTTGTTGAATCCCTTGGAGCTGGAGTTACAGATGTTGTGTGCTGTCTTAAGTGGGTGCTAGGAACAGAATTTAAGTCTTCTGGATGAGCAACATGTGCTCTTAAATTTTGAGACATTTCTTCAGCCTTTGAAAAACACACTATGAGTGTGTGTGTGTGTGTGTGTGTGTGTGTGTGTGTGTGTGTGTGTGTAAGGGGGGGCATTGAAAATTTCTCCCTCAGAGCATGTACTTAATGTCTGCTACCTGATTTCAGTCATGACTGACAACACCAATGTCAACTTCGTACAGTACAAGGGTGATTACTACATAAGCACTGAGACCAATTTTATGAATAAAGTGGACATTGAAACTCTGGAAAGGACGGAAAAGGTAATGTGTGGGCCCAAAATGAATAAAATAGATTCCAATTTTCTTTCTATTCAGAGTACTTTGTAGACTCTAGATAGCTAAGGGAGAAATCAGAGGCTCATCTCCACAGAAACGCAGGCATCCATTAATTTAGGCTACCATCAGCTCCTGCCAGGATTATAATGTTGTGGGGCTGGTCTTCCTAAAAAATAATCCCAAACTTCTACCTTAGTTTTAACATTTTTAGGGTATAAAAGAAATAGCCCTGACAGACGTAAGTTCTTCCTAGGCACAGTAGCTACCAAACTAGAGGTAGTATAGACAAATATTGACACATTAATACATTTTCAGGACATCTTTGTTGTTGATTCAGTGTCTTGCTCCGGTTGGCCCAGAACTCACCATGTATCTTAAGCTGGCTTTGAACTTAAGATCCTCCTGCCTCAGTCTCCCAAGTGCTGGAATTACAGGTATGTTCTACCACCTCAGACTAAAATTTTGATTTTATGTTTATTTTATTTATGTTTATGTTTATTTTGAACTTTGCCATGATATTAGATAAATCTGTACAGATGTTTTTGTTGGTTGCTGAGGTGCTGCTGGTTTTTATTGTTTTGCTTTTCATCCATTCCTTTTTCTTGAGCAGGAAAAATAATTTTGATTTCTCAGAGTTTCTCATATCATACTTTCATCTTAGAAAACATGCTTCTATGATCAATGCTAATTTATGTTAATACAGATCTATTGTGTATCATTTACAATTCTCAAATGGCCTTAAACCCTCAGGTGAACTGGAGCAAATTCATTGCTGTGAACGGAGCGACTGCACACCCTCATTATGACCCAGATGGAACAGCATACAATATGGGGAACACCTACGGGCCAAGAGGTGAAGTGAGGATGGGAGTATTTTTAGATATTATTAAGGGTAAACTGTTCCCAAAGATCCATTATGTTCAAAACATAAATAGGAAGTATCACTTGGAAGGTTCCAAAGAGGCATTACTGAGGTTAAAATACATGATTTATCATTAAGGATGTGTTCTGTGGCCCTTTTGTGCTGAGCAACTTATTTCCTATATGTCTTTTTCACTGTAACTTACATCTTTATGTTCCATTATGAATTTTGGCGTTATGAATATCAAAGTCACATATCTCTTGAATGTAAACTTTAAAGATACACTATATTGTAAAAGTAAGAAATGTAAAGTTCTATAGAAAAGGGATGTGGGGAGGGCCCACTGTTTACCACACAGAAGTAACTAACAAAGTAATCAAGATCATAGATATATGGAATTCACAATTCTGTACACCATATACTGGTCATCTACCCACTTCCAGATCTGCTACCAATCCACTCCAGAATGTTCCAGTAGTTAATAAGTACAGATAATGTTAAGTGAGTGCCTAGAATGAGCTAAAGATAAACATATTCCTCTGTGTTTTCTTCTTTAATCTGTAAAGAATAACTCTCAAAGTATACAATCCTATTATCACCTCCATTTTACAGACAAGACTAGTGAACTCTGAGGATGTTTAGGTCATTTGCTTGAGCCAGTACCCATGTCTCTAAAGCCAGACCTGAAACCAGGTCTGATTTTAAAGACAAAGGCTTGCTGTGAGTCATTCTGTTGGGCAATTTTATTAGTTTTACATCACTGAGTCCAAAAGACTATATTGATAATATTTAACATCCAGCTTCCACCCTGTAACCATTTCTCCTTCCACTTATTTTTAAGACCTTTAAAATTATATACCCACCTCTCTGGGAAGACAAATTTATATTCCTGAACAAGAGTATGTTAGTTGAGAAATTTAGATATTTGTGACTACCTTGACTATTAGTCTCTTGTCTGCAGTCAGTGAAACCTATGTTATGGTTGTGGTATACCTTTGGTGAATAGTTGGCTTTGTGAATTGCTCCTCTGTAGGTCTATATTTACACACATGAATGTATATGAAGATAGATGCTGAAGCTTTAGTTTTATTGGCTTATGTACAGATAGGATGTCTCTAATACTCTCCCACCCAGCTTGTTTTCTTTATTCTCAGACACTGATTATTTAAACTATTATAGGAAACAGTAGATATCCTTCTAATGGGTATAGTGACGCATGGAGACCATGTGGAGACCAGAGGACAACCTATGGAAATCTGTTCTTGCCTTGTACCATGTATGATCTGGGGATAGAACTCACATCATCAGACTTGGTGACAAGTGTCTTTACTTAATGAGTTATCTTGCCAGCTTTTGGTGACCGTTTTAGATCTAGCTATCTATTGGATTCACTGGGGAACCATACAGTAACTTGAGTTTTGCCCTCAAAGATCAGAATTTAGTTAGTCTGAGCCTCACCTAAATCTGCTAAATTTGGGCCTTTATCCTAAGAAGATTATTGATTTTTATGTACATTAAATCCCACTTTGTTTTGTTCCATCCATCACATTTTAATCATTAAAAAAAAAATCCACTTCTATGTCCTAAACAAAAAATTTCACTTCTTAACTCCGTTAATCAAGCAGTCTATTTTGAAACTTACTTGTGATTTGAAAAATATTATTCTTAATTATGTATATTAAAATTGTCACTAGATCATCAATCTTAACCTAAAGCATCTAAGAATCATCTAGAATGCTTGCTATCAGGATAGATCATGGGCTCCATCCATCTTTAGGGATTCTGGTTCATCAGAACTAAAAAGAGGCCAAGAATCTGCACCTCAGGCACTAATCATGAGTGCCCATGCTTATTACCTTACCTCAACTTCCTGTTTATACAAACTCCTGGAGACTTCCAGAATCAGACTCAAGGTGCTGAGAAAGGCAGCTCTCTTTCACATTCCTCATCGGATTAGGTGCCTGTCTTGCATAATGCTTTCATGATGCTGTCAGCCTCCTCCCCTCCTGCCCACTGTAGTTAGAATAGTTCAATGACTTAAGTGTTTAAAGTTGGTGAACTGGGTAACACAATTGCCAGCACTGGAAATCCTTGAGTATACTCTAATCCTAACTAACACCAGACCTGCTTCTGTTTTCTCATATGATTATCTGGTTCAGTGAAAAGGATTTGAACTGGAACTCATTGTATTTGTAGTTGCAGGGAGCCTGAATACCTGGGATATATTTAGATGTATAATAATTCTGATTATAATTTTTAAAATGTCTGTAATTGTCTACTTTTAAGAACTAAAAGGTGTAGGGAAGGGACTAAGGAATAAATGGGCAAATCATAGCAAAGTTTTAGCCTTTTCAGACATTTTAAGATCCTCTTTACAAATTAGCAAAAATTCTTTGAACATTTTATCAACCCAATTAGCTTTTCATACTTAAACTATGTTCTTCGTATTAATCCATCTTTGTTCTTATCTATTTTGTTGTTGTTGTTGTTGTTCAAAACATGAAAGTTTCCTAAGTATGAAGTGATCTCTCGAAACCTGTCCACATCTCCACCCTGGACATCTGCAGTAATTTGTACCTGTTGCTCATTCAGTGTTTTTATCAGGATGTCAACAGGCATTACAAAAACAAACCTTTGATCTTTTCTGCTAAACTTTCTAAAAATGAGTCTTTCTCATTTCAGTTGATGGCAGCACCATCCTTCCAATTGGCAATGACAACTTGGAATCATTCCTCATGTTGGTCTCTTACACATAAACCCAATTAATCAAAAGAGTTATTTGAGAAATGCCCTTAAGCTATCCTCAGAATCCAACTACCTCATGTCATCATTTCTATGGCCATCCATCCGTTTTTTAACTACAGTGTTCTTACAATTAAAGTTATTGAACTAACTTCTTAATTGATTTCTTGGATACTTCCTTCATCTTCCTTTTCTGTATTCTCAGCATCATGTGACCACAGTTGACCTCTTAATCCACCCACCTCTCTAGCCTCATCTTTCTTGCTTATCAGACAGGACTACACTGGCCTCTTTATTATTATTTGAACACTACAAACTGTCCCTGTCTGTGCATGCACTTTCCTCTATCTGGAACACATTTCTCCTAGAAGCTCTCGAATCTCTTCCTCCTCTTCTTCAGGTCTTCACTTGAATGGCATCATCCACTTAGGGAAGCCTTCCCAGAATACCCTATTAAAAATGGCAAACAGGAATGCCCACCCATACACAATCACTGCAGCCCCCATTCCTAGCTTGTTTTACATTATAGTTCATATCACCATCGAATGCCTTGCATTTTTGCTCATAAGTTTTATTAGAATTTGAGCTTTAGGAATGAATAGATTTTATCTGTTCTGTGTACTCCTATATACAAGAGTTTGAAATACAGTTTTTAGAATTCTTAGGACAGTGTTTGTAATATGGATTAGTGACTAGTAAATTGCTATAGAATAAATGAACCAAGAAAATGTGTTATTTTTTTTTCCTTAAGAACAATGGGTATTGTGAAATTCCATGTTATGCAAGTTCATCATGTTTTACACTGCAAATTATAATAGTAGGAAGATAATTCAGTATCACCTAAATATTCATTCACTGAGTAGCTACATAAGCATGTGCTATTAGTTACTCCATCAATAATTATTTATAGCACGCTCACTAAATACCAAGCCCTTGCAAGGGCAAAGGTTATCTTTCATTCTAGAATATTTATAAAAATTGTGAAGGGAGAAATTTTTGTTGTCCAGGTTCTTGCTATAATATTATTCGAGTTCCTCCAGAGAAGACAGAGCCTGGGGAGACGATTCATGGAGCACAAGTGTTGTGTTCTATTGCTTCCACTGACACCATGAAGCCTTCTTACTACCATAGCTTTGGTGAGTCTATGGGTGAAGCCAGTTTCACTGGGTTCTGAGTTAAAGTTTCTGTATCAGAAAAATTAGTTTTGACAAGAACCATGTTGATAATTTATCAGAGTATTAAGATGAGATCAAGAGTGCACTAACACCAATTAAGTCATTCTGTTACTCATAACTCCTTATGCTAGCCTGAAGATTGCTTGAAGAGACATGTCTGCTTAATGTAAGTAGTTACTAGAAATGTAAATTGATATTGAACATTTTAGTCAATATTAAAATCCTAAAATAATAGTCACACATGAAAAGGTCTTGTATATTTCATGTGTAAATGTGTGTGTGTGGGGGGGGGGAATCTTATATCCTGTATAGATTATTTCAGACTTTAAAAATAATGTTTTATTAACTTTTGAGATGTTTAGCCTTTATTCAGAACATTTACTTTATGTATTGTAAATTGTAATAGCCAAAATATTGCTAGGTCCTCACTCCCAGTATGTACAGGAAAAGGACTAAGGAATCAATACTCAGACAGCACTTTAATATTGTTCTGCTTTCTGTTATCCTTTAACCAAAATAATTTAAAATGGCATTGAAAAAAAAAAAAAGCTCAACTAAGGGCATTAACCCAAGTCTTCTTAACAGTTCTCTTTTCTATGTAGAAACAGGAAATATGTCCAGTCAAGCCGGGAAACAGTGAGGTATTTCTGGATGGTGTTTACTTTGGTCAGCAGTAGCATGCCAGGTCATTCAGACTGGTGCCCTACTGCCATATTTCAGTTCATTCTAGTTTGCTGAGTAACATTCAATTGTTTCCTGAAACCTTTTAGGAATGACAGAAAACTACATAATCTTCATTGAACAGCCTCTAAAGATGAAGCTGTGGAAAATGGTCACTTCTAAAATCCGGGGGAAGGCCTTTGCTGATGCGATAAGCTGGGAGCCCCAATATAATACACGGTTTCATGTGGTGGATAAGCACACGGGACAGGCTGAGTATTTGAGCATATTTATCATGAAAATGACTGCCCTGAGGGTGATTTTCCACAGGGCTGACTTTTCACCTTCACTTATTATTTTTAAAGATGTTTCTAATTAAGGATATTATTTTCTTTTGCTGGTTGGACTGGCTGCTAATTAATTAACACAGTGGATGTTGTATGTTTGGGAACCCCTCTAACTGACTGAATTAAAAGGGTACAGGAAGCTCTCATTATGGGTTTTTCTCATGCCATAATAGTACAGAGGGGTGCAGTTTATGCAGAGCTCTTTTGAGACTTGTTGGTGTGCCAATATCATAAGCCCACTGAATCCAGCATGTCAGCCGATTACCTTCTTATAGTCCCCATTAGTAATAGCGCTATTGTATTTGTCTGTGTTTATCTCTAAGAAGATAGCATCCTAAATTTAATTTTCCCCGATTTCATTACAAAATTATTTGAATAATGAGTGTATTTTTCAATTAGTCACTTAATTTATAATAAGCATCCTAAGTAACAGTATTTCCTATTAATCTTGTAATTAGAGTCTAGGAGCTATTTATCCTGTAAAACATTAGCTCACACATTTCAGGGGGGCTTTTAAATTAGTCACAACAATAGATTGGTTTGTGTCAAATAGCCTCAGTTCACTGATTAACATGAAATGGGATGCTAAAGCAAGCGATGTTTAAATCATGTGCTTTTATATGCTGATTTTTCTTCCTTTTGTACCTACTGACAACAGCATGTAAGTAGGGGGAGTGAAGTCTGGGGTGGGAATCCTGCTTTGAGCTTTGTGGATTTATTCCTGAAAGGGGCCAGAAAGGAGGGGACAGGAAGGAAAAGGAAAGAAAACTGAGTGTCTTCCTAAATTGTGTGCCCCGCAGACTCTCCCAGGAGTGTATTACAGCAACCCTTTTATTACCTATCATCAAATCAATGCCTTTGAGGACCAGGGCTGTATTGTGATTGATCTGTGCTGTCAGGATGATGGGAGGAGCCTGGAAGTTTATCATCTACAGAATCTGAGGAAAGCAGGGGAAGGGCTTGATCAGGTAAATGTCTTTAAGTCCTTTGCCTTCTGAGTGCTGGGAGTAAAGGTGTGTTATCACCATACCAGGCACTAACATTTTATTTTTAAGGATGTTGCTTGCCATTTATTAATTAATGGACTATTATAAAGCAGACTTAGGTTTAAAGAAAAAAGATCTGAAACCACGGAGTGTTTCCCCATATATTTCTCTCCCTGAGTCTCTTTAATATCAACATTGCAAATTTTGGTTTATCATCATTGTATGTATGCATTTGTATGATGTGTGTGAAAGAGCATGGGCGGCACAGCACACAAGGGAAGGTAGTGTAGGTGAGAGACAACTCTCCGGAGTTGGTTCTCTCCTTTTACTGTGGGATTTGGGGATTGCACCTAGGCTGTCAGGCTTGTGCAGCAGACCGTTTTACCCTTTTGTTGTTGTCAATTTGGTTTTTGTTGTTGTTTCTCTGTGTAGCCCTGGCTATCCTGAAACTCCCTCTGTAGCCAGGCTGGCTTCCAACTCAGAGATCTGCCTGCCTCTGCCTCCCGAGTGTGGGCTCCACTATTGCTTGGTATGAACATCTTGCATTGTTGTGAAACATTTGTTATATTTGATGCATCAGTACTGATCTGTTATTACCAACTAAAACCTACAGTGCTTAGGGCTCACTCACCCTTTGTGTTGAATAATATGCTGTCTCTACAGTTCTGTCTGTTTTACAATGTCTATAGTTCAGGCTGGCTTTGAACATGTATCATTTTCCTTCCTCACCCTCTTGAATGATGGAATTAGAGCTGACTTCTTTCCTTCCTTCCCTCCTTCCTTCTCCTTCCTTTTAATAGTATGCATTTTGTGGTTCCTCCATGTTTTTGTGTCTTGATAGTTTTATTACTATTAAGCAGTAGTGTCTTGTGTATACTAGTTGACCATCTATTTGCCTATTGAAAAATATCTTGCTAGTTTACAATTTCAGTGAATATGATAAAAGTTATAAACATTTCTGCACAGATTGTATGTAAACATAAATTATCAATCAATGTCTTTTTCTGAGGCAGTCTCATGAAGTGCAGACTAGCCTTGGACTCACTGTATAGTCAAGACTGGCCTTGAACCCTGGTCCTATTGTCTTTGTCTTCCAAGTTCTGGGATTACGGCCATGTGTCAATATATCAGTCTTAGATTTTTTTTTTCTTAAAAAAGTGTATATTTTGTTGTATTAGGAAAGTTACCTTTTTACTTCTATATTGCTAAGAATTTTGATCATGGATAAATGTAGCATTTCGTATTTTTTTCTCATTTTTGAGAGTACCACATGGATTTTATTCCTTTTTTATTAATGTGATAAAGTATATTGGTTCCTTCTTTTTAAACTAGGTATTGTGGCAGATACCTTTAATCCCAGCATTTGGGAGGTAGATGCAGTCAGGTCTCTACAAGTTCCAGGACGGTCTGTTTACATAGTGAATTCCAGGCCAGCTGAGGATACATAGTAAGACCCTTTCTCAAAAGAAAAAAAAAAAGTTTAAACTGGGCCTAGTGTTTCAGGCCTGTAATCCCAGCTACTTTGGTGACTGAGGCAGGGGATCACTATTTGTGAGAATTCGCCTGTCTCTGCCTTTTATTTCCTATTAGAAGCTGGGTCATTATAGATGTTTGTGCTATGCAAACATCTAACCTGGTTATTATGGATTCTGGGGATTCAAACTAAGGTCCTTGTGCTGTGTGACAAGTGCTTTTACCCACTAAATCACTGTCCTGCATCAATATTTGCTTTTTATTTTTTTTAATTAAAAATAGTAACCATGCCAGTGGGTGTGGAGTGGTGTGTGTGGTTTTGATTTACATTTCTCAAATGACTAACATCTCATTAGGTTCTGAGGGGAAGAGTTGTCTCTAACACCTGGTCCATCTGTGGGTTTCCTTTCCCTTCTAAATCTCAGCCTCATTGTCCTTTCTGGCCTGTCTAGTTCATCATTGCCTACAAACCTCTATTTTAAAACATTTTTATCCAGATTTTTCTCCTTTTAGTTCTTCTCAAAGGAATGATTGGCTCATATCACCTGGCCTAATCTTAAGTGCTTTTTTGTTTAGCTAAGGTTTTACAAAAGAAAGCAATATTGGTTGTTCAGGGACTTACTGAGGATCAGTCATGGAGGCATCTAGCCAACATAACTAACTTTAGGTCTTGAAGTTCTAGACTCCTAAGTAGACTCAGATGTTAATCTTTTTTTTTTTTTTTTTTTTTTCCCAACTGAAGACTAACCCCTGGCTCTTGTGCATGCTAGGCAAGCGCTGTACCATTGAGTTACATCCTTAGCCCCCAGATGCTCTTTTTAAATAACATCATTATCATGAACTATATTAGTGACTACACACCCACATACTCTTATCAGATGCAGCAGTCTAAGAACCCAGCTTAGGGTTAGTCTTAGAAATTGACCTGGCTCAAGAATGTGTGGGGTTTGGGCAATCCTAACCTGCTAAGCTGGCCTTTTTCTGAACCAGCAAACATGAAAAAGGGACCTTCTCTTGTTACTGTCTAGTTCCTGGGATCTTTGACTATAAGTTATCATTTGTTTATTTGATGCTAATTAATAAATACTTAATTTTATAATTATTATTCCACTACTAGAATACAAATTTTGTGAACTTAGTGCTGCATTCTCAGTGTCTGAAACAATACTTAACCTACAGTAGGCACTCGACAAATGTTTGTTGAATGGATGAGTTGAAATTATTATTATTTTAAGTATAAACCCCATTTTATTTTTCCAAGGTGATTTTTACTTCTGTCTTCACGTAGCCATCTCTTTACATGGGCTTTGGAGGAGGTCATGGCGCAGCACCAGCAGGGCTAAATCATGGTGGGGGTGTTCGGTCCTTCCAGGCATCACGAGATGATTCCTGAGTACTTCTCTATGAATAGCACAGCTCATACAGTAATGCAGCTTGACATATTGTTTGGGAAGCACATAAGCGTTGAAGACACTTGCCTTGGATATGTCCCTGACAGCAGCGGCCTCTACGATGTTCCAAATGACGAACTTCTTAATGGCCTTATCCTTGGGCATGCACCGGGCACAGTTCGTGCAGCAAATTGGTTGCACTGGCCGAGGCCCTTCTTGGCACGCCTGTTGTCGCTTCTTTTTTTGGTCATCTTGGAGCCAAGACCGGAAAGCCGAAATTATTATTTGTACAATTCTAGTAATAACTGAATTTAAGTTACTGTTTTTTTAATCTTAGGGATGACATTTCCCCTATCTGTTTATTTATCTCTTCTGAACAGGTCTATAATTCAGTAGCAAAATCTTTTCCTCGAAGATTTGTTTTGCCTTTAGATGTCAGTGTTGATGCCCCCAAGGGAAGGAACCTCAGTCCACTCTCCTATTCTTCAGCCAGTGCTGTGAAACAGGGTGATGGAGAGGTAAGCTCTCTGTGGATATCAGACTAAGGGTTTGGATTCTAGTGACGTTACTTTATTCTTTGGCTCTTCTCCAAATGTTTGGTGTCCAGCAGGTTTCATAACATTTGGCTGAGCCTGGGTGAGGTCATGGAAACTTGTTTTCACAAGAGTCACAGAAACTGGGTGGGATGGACACCATGTTTGACTATACCTTCTGTGCTTTGAGCCAGATATATGCAACTTGCTAATGGCTGTGGAATGTATGAGCTTTTGAGATTGGTCTGACCTTCCCCACCTCCTGGAGACACTGCTTTTCCCATGAGTATTTAATTGTGCAGCTCTGGATTCCTTACTTTTAGAAACACTCTGCCTCACTGTGCCATTTGACATCTTAGCCACAAAGCCTGACAGTGTTATCTACATTCACATTCACTATGGAAAGGGGAACAATATGAAACACGATGTAGAACTTTAGTTCTCAGATCCTGTCTCAGCTTACAGAGTAGTATGCCTGTACACTAAAGACATGAAAGAGAATTGAGAGAAAATAAAGAGAATTAAGCAGCCAATTTTAATCTTTTGGGGATTTCTCTTAGATCTGGTGCTCTCCTGAAAATCTATACCATGAGGACCTGGTAGAGGAAGGAGGGATTGAATTTCCGCAGATCAACTATGGCCGATTCAATGGCAAAAAGTATAATTTCTTCTATGGCTGCGGTTTTCGGCATTTGGTGGGGGATTCTCTGATTAAGGTTGACGTGGTGAACAAGACACTGATGGTAATGAAAATCTCTTCTCTTGCTTTTTCAAAGACCTGCTTTGCCCTTTGAATTGATTTCTGTTTTGTTTAAAGTAGTTCTTCAGGTGTTTTTGTTTTTCGAGGCAGGGTTTCTCTGTATTGTCTTAAAACCTGTCCTGGAACTAGCTCTGAAAACCAGGCTGGCCTTGAACTCACAGAGATCCACCTGCCTCTGCCTCCAGAGTGCTGGGGTTAAAGGCATGTGCCACCAACACCCAGCTTATTTTTCTAAAAGAATTTTAATGTCTGTTTATTTGTATATGTGTTTGTGCCAGAGTGTATTATGTGCACCACATGTGTGCAGGAGCCTGTAAAGGTCAGACAAAGGCATCTGATCCCCTGGAGTTGTGGTTATAGGGAACTTCGAACTATTGTGTAGGTGAACTGAACCCAGGTCCTCTGGAAGAACAGCCAGTATTCTTACTGCCTCTGCAGCCCAGTTCTTAGGAGTCTTTAATATTACAACAGCTCAGCTATTTTCCTAAGTTTGAAAATCATGAATCACTTAAGTGAGGGGTTGGTTTCCTGGGAGAACTCTAAAGGAAAGCCAAAGCTTGGGAAAACAATGGTAAAACTGATGCCATTTTTGAGGAATTATGGGGCAAAGGCTGTAGTGACCCCTACGTTTTAGGCTGATGGGAAATCATATTAGATGGTGATTTAGAGGCAGCAGAGGCCCCACCCCTCTTACCTATGTTCAACACAGTGAGCCTGATTTGTGTTTGATGTTGGAACATCCAGTTGACAGCCCAGTTTATGCTATGAGTGACAAACACTGTGGAATGCTTCCCAGTGCCCCCTCACCTTTCATCAGATGCCTTTTGTGTGTTGGGTGGTCTTGCAGGTTTGGAGAGAAGACGGCTTTTATCCCTCGGAGCCCATTTTTGTTCCGGCACCAGGAGCTGATGAGGAAGATGGAGGGGTTATTCTTTCTGTTGTGATCACTCCCAATCAGGTAAGTTTATTTGCCTGTCATGATCATAACAACCCAGCACTAATTCAATGGAGCATGATGTGGAGTGACACAGCCCATAATCTATTTTGACACTTTATGGCATCTTCTCTGTCCTCATCCCTTTAAAAATCATAGTCCATACTTTAATATATCTTAAAGTCCTATTTGTAAAATCATAATAATATGTCTTCAGAGGCATTTGTTATATACTTTCATACATATTATGATAATTATTAAAAATTGTGGGATACCATTTTATTCATGTGGAATTTGTCACTTCAAGAAGTTTCAGGCAACTTACCATCTGATCTCACAGTGGTAAAGCCAGTATTTAAATCATCTGGGCTCTGGCCTGATGTTCATACCACCATCTGTGTTTCTAATTTCAGTGAACTGACCAAAAAAATCTCCAGTATCATAAGATCTGGCTAGTATGTCAATGATGCTACTTACTGACTTGTCTGGGCAATCTTATAGCAAATGTGTTATCCTTGGGCACCAGCTTTAATCAATTATTAGTGGTACCTGGATATGAGGTTCTGAGCTCTTTAATGGTTTAGCTTTTTTTAAAAAAAGTGTGTGATCAATTATTAATGTCTGCTATGCACTTAACACTCCAGTAATTAGGATGGCACAAATCTCAGTCTGACTTACAATGCTGAACTTTGTACAGCTCCTAAGTAACACAAAATGGAAGCATTTCTAACTTGGGAAAAAGAATTTCCACATATTTTACAAAATTAGAAAGGGCCAAGCAAAAATACAGTTTGATGCAAAGCCATCTTATGAAGAGAAATGGCACAAACAACTGTATTTCTTTGCTTTTGGATGTGGACTTCTTTAGTCATGGTATTTCTGTCCAGTATAGCAACTGGTCAAACATTTAGTGGGTGGCTAGGTGAGGCATAGGTGCCAGGAACAGATATGAACATGAGTAAGACAAGCTCTCTCCCTTAGCAAGGTCCTAGTCAGTAAGATGGATTTTCAAATGAGCAGAGAACTTTAGTTGATGAGAGATGTCATTCTGTATATGTTTCTCATACTGGTTAATAAATAAAGCACTGCTGGCCAATAGGAAAGGAAGATAGGAGGAAATAGGAAGTAGGGAGGAGGAGTCAGCATGGAGAGTCTGGAGAGAGCAGTACGCAGCATCTGGCTCCGGGTAAGAAGACCACGTGGAAATACATAGATTAACACAAATGGGTTAATACTTAAGACAGCTAGCCGATAAGAAAGTAGTAACTGGCCAACAGTATAATATCAAATACAGAGTCTCAGTGTATTATTTGGGGCTGGCGCGGCTGCAGGACAAGACTAGGTGGCGGGTGGAAAATCTGTACTCCTTACATTTAGTGTTGCATTTCTTTTTCTAGAGTGAAAGTAACTTCCTCCTTGTTTTGGACGCTAAGAACCTGGCAGAACTGGGGAGAGCAGAAGTACCTGTGCAGATGCCTTATGGATTCCATGGCACATTTGTACCCATCTGATGGCACAACCACAAGGTCTGAGAGTCGGCTTCCAATGAGCACACTCTGTACAGAAGAGAGGAAACAATGGGGCTCCCCCAAAACTATTGCAGTTTGAACCTGATTTGACCTCCTCGGGCTCATATTTTGAAAACTTGGTCCCAGTTTGTGGCACGTTTTGGGAGACTGTAGAAACTTTTGGGCGGGGGCTCAGAACCCACAGGCACTAGGAACTAGCCTTTGAAGCCCCTGGTTCTCTCATGCTCTCTCTGATTCCTGGCCCACTACAATGCGAACAGCCTTCACCTTGCCACTGATGGGGTGCTCCACCACGCCTCCCCAATATGGCAGACTGAATCCCCTGAAACTGTGAACCGAAGGAAATCTTTCCACCTTTAGTTGTTCTGACAGTTTGGTTTTGTTTTGCAGCAGCACTGAAGTAACTATTACAAAAACTGGATAAATTGTTTACATTTCTATTAAAAAATAATTTGTGAGGTAATTATGGTGGTATATGTTTTTAATGCCATTTAAAAGGATTTATTTTACGTGTATGGATGTTTTACCTGCATATATGTATGTGTACCACATGCATGCCTGGTGCCTGAGGAGGTCAGAATGGAGTATCAGCTCCCCTGGAACTAGAGTTACAAATTGTTGTGAGCTGCTATATGGGTGCTGGGAACTAAACCCAGGGCCCCTATAAGAGAAACAAGCACTCTTAGTCACTGAGCCATCTCTCCAGCCCCTTTATATATTTTTAAAAAGATGTATGCGTTTATGTGTGACTGTGTGTGTGGGGTATGTGTGTGTGAGTACAGGTGCTGGGAACCAAACTCAGGTCCCCTGCAAGAGCAGTGTGCATGCTCTCAACTGCTTGGTGATCTCTTCAACCCTGGTTTTCTATTATCTTAAGGCTATTCCTTGAAACCATCAAGCAAGCATCAGTATAATATTTAAAGGTCTTTATTATTTGTTGTGTGTCTATGGACTGTGTGTGTATATGTGCAGACATGGAGTGCTTAGGGAAGTCAGAGGACAACTTTCTCCTCTGGGTTCTCTTCTTCCACCTGGGACTTCTGGGCAATTCTCCATTCTCTGTTTTCCATCTCTACATCCTGGTGGTGGGATTGTGGACACAAGGCATTGCATCTGGCCTTTTGTGGATTATGGATCAAACTCAGGTCATCAGGGTCACTCAACAAGCACATTTACCCACCGAGCCATCTTGTAAGCCCTAGAGGATATTTTTGGAGGTACTCTACATTTATTGAACATGCTTTTCTCTAGCTAAAAGAATATATGAAAAGGGGCTGGCAAGATGACTCAGCAGATAAGGGTGCTTGCAGTGCAAGCCTGGTGACATGGTCTGGTTCCTGGAACCCATGTAAAGATAGAGGGAGATAATCAACTCCACAAAGGTATCTTTTGACCCCATATATAGGCTGTGGCTCTTGTGTTACCACACACACACACACACAATTTTTGAAAAAAGAATATACACACAAAGAATAAAATTAGGTTATTACACTACCACATAGGTAATCAGAGGTCCTGTGAGAAGAAACACAAATAGTCAAGGACAGTAGACTCGGAGCAGTGGTTCTCAACCTCCCGAATGCTTCGACCCTTTAATACAGTTCCACATGGTATGACTACTTCATAACTGTCATATGGTTATGAACCATAATGCAAATACCTGTCTTTTCCAATGGTCTTAGGTAACCTCTGGGAAAAGGTCATTCAGTCTAAAGGAGTCATGACCCACGAGTTGAGAACTGCTAACTTAGAATCTAGACCAGCACCTTGCTGTCTCCAAGTCTGTAATAGGTCACAGTCTGTCTGTTACAATTGATGCTAGTGCTGTCATGTTTGGTGGCCTCTGGACTGGGTGTTTCTCTGGTGTCTATGGCAGATGCTATGCCAGTTCACTTCAGTTTTCCTCTCCCAGACCACCCATTACCGCTCCCATCTCGCCCCCAGCTCAGTCTTAGAGGTGCTGGTTTTGAGAGACATTGCTAAGATAATGTTCCAGAGAGTGATGAAAGTCAGGTGGTTCTTTATTCAAATGGGCGGCAGGTGGCAGTATAGACCACATAATCTCCACATTTCTAAGCCCCCAGAATGCCTTGTTCTCTTTTCTTTCAGTTGCCCCATGGCTGAGTTTTAATCAGTCATCCTGCCCAGTCAAACTGCCTGTTCAGTGTTCCTAAAGACGCCCTCCAAGATGTGATCTACACCGGTTTACTTACAGTTAGGCTCATGGACTGCCAGTTTCTTCTTTCAATTTCTGTAGGGGTTATTTCAAACCCCTACAGGGAAGTGTTCCTTACATAGAAATGCCTTGTATAGAGGTTTGCACCAAATGACAGTAACTAATAAGGGCTAAGTCCATGTGAGGTTTTATGAGGGGCAGGTAGACAGAGCTAAGACAGCAGATGTGGGAGTGTGGAAGCCAAGAACCTGGAGAGAATAAGTCTCTTGATGTTCAGACACATCTGTGGGGGAAGACACTGGAAGGATTCAGGCATTATGCTGGCTTGCCCCTGTCACCTGGCAGAATGCACTCAGGCAGTACTCTGGTCAGCCCAGGGTTCCATGACTACTAGTCTGCAGGCAGGTGTAAAGGACTCCTTTAAAAGTCAGGCCCCTGCCCAAATATGCTCTCTTTTGCTCTTCCTCTCTCTTTTGCTTTCTCTTCTTCTTCTTCTTCTTCTTCTTCTTCTTCTTCTTCTTCTTCTTCTTCTTCTTCTTCTTCTCTCTCTCTCTCTCTCTCTCTCTCTCTCTCTCTCTCTCTCTCTCTCTCTCTCTTTCCTGCTTTCAGTTGGCTACCAGCTACTCCCCTTCTTCTCTCCCCTTTCTCTCTCCCCCTCTCTCCTCTTCTGTTCCTGGTGCCTCCATGTCTTTTCCCTTTTCTCTCACTCCCCTCCGCCTCGCCGCCTTAGTCACTCTCACCTGCTTGTGGAACCTGCTATGATCTCCCACGTGGTCCCTTACCTTGGGACCCCACTCACTTGGGACTCTCACTCAGGACCACTCCCCCCCTTCTCCAGCCTTTATTCTTATAACTGTAACTAAAGAACAACAGACACATTCTTGCATTTCCTCAGAAGAAGCATGGAGAGTTAATATAGCCTGTCTAGACATGAAGGTTGATGGGGTCTCTGACTTCTGGGAAGCACGCAGATCTGAAGACGTCATTCATTCTTCTGCATATGGATCTTTGCTTCATCTTAATATGGATATGATGGTCAGTGTGCAAGTGAGAGGAAAGAAAAAATGAGGAGGGCCTGCTCCCTGCTCAGCTTTGCCTCAGCCAGAACAGAATGGAAGAGAGCCAGGACTGGGGAGTGGAGAACATGGGCTTTGAGTGGAGAGTATGGGCTTCATGTCCCTGTATGCATAGCTCCAGGGAATAAGTCACTACTACCTGAGCAAGCAGGACTCAGTTGTACCGGAAAATGTTATTCAAGCAGTTGGAAATTCCTTTCTCTTGGAGAGGACCTAGATGGGGACAAAAAGGTGGGGCCTCTTTTCCTCTACATGTCGAAGAACAAAAACACTCACAATGCTTCAACTAATTGGTCTGCAGTCAATATTTGCAGTACAATTTCTGTCTTGCATGACAAGGTAGCCAAGAATTTGTCACTATGCCTTAAGCAAGACACAATTCCACATTTCATTTGCTTAAACTATTTCCTCCTGGAATTTATTATTTACCCATCTGTTGGACTCCTTAAAACCCAGCTCAGAACAATTTGTTCTCAGAAGCTTTCTTTTACCCTCTGAGGCAATTAGTAATCTTTCGCTTATAATATTACTTGTTTGACTCCTCCATTAAACTGAATTTTTCAGATGACAGGGATCATTTTGTTGTTCTCAGGTGCATGTGTCTGATACTTAAGGCACCTGGCATTTAGATCTTAGGTAAACACTTTTTGAATTTAAAATTTTAATATAATGAGTGGATGGGTAATGGTTGTGGGGGCTGCCTTGCCAAAGGTGCCCAGGACTTTATTCTTTTGAGACAGACTTTGAGCTTACCATCCTCTTGTCCTAAACACTAGTGCTGGGATTACAGGTATATGCTATACCTGCCTCTGACAACATTTAGTAGATGCTGACCTTCTGAGACAAAGGATCCAAACAAAGCTAGTCAATGTTGCACAAGAGCAGTGGGGGGTTACACCTGAATGCTCTTTCATTTCAAAGCACTGAAAACCATCAATCTAAAACCAGGACTGGCTTGTTCCTTAAGGCTGAGGGTTCTGAAGGGTGAATCTGTTTTCAGGCCTACATCTGGTTTGACGAGGTTGTTGCATGCCACTCTCACCTGCAGATTGCAGTGTCGAAGTTTTCCTTTATTTTCCACTTGAGCTAGTGTTTTACTATGCTGCCTAGAACAGACCAAACTCCTAAAACCAATCCTCCGGACTCAGCCTCCAGAGTAACTCGGATGACAATGCACTATTATCCTTGGCCGAGGTTTCCTTTAAGAGCACTCTCCATGTGGTACCGGGCTGGAGCACATCTGAGAAGGGTACTCAGCCACCGGATTTTCCAATTCTAACCCAGAGCTATCAAAAATAGAGTGAAAGGCGAAGACACAAATTATCGTGGGCAATTTAAAAATCCAGGCCTCTGGCTCCCACCCACTCACACTGCCCCAGTGTATTTCTGACTGCCTAGCATAGACTGAACAGCAGGAGGAGCGAGTATCTGCATCCACGCGGACTGAGGAGCTCCAAGGGCTGAAACCACCCGGAGGAGTGCTTCCGGCGGGGAGGGCCGAGCTTGCACTGCGCAGCTGCGGAGGGAGGGGCTGGCCTCGGCCGGGGAAACCGGAAGCGCCTTTCGCTCCGGGATAGCTGGCCCGAAGACCATGAGCGTGGCGGGTGGCCTTCGCCGCCGCGCGCGACTGTCACGCCTCGTGTCCTTCAGTGCGAGCCACCGGCTGCACAGGTGGGGTGTGACCATGTGCGTCACCGCAAGTGCGGGGCTTTTCCCGCTACGTCCCCGGGGGCGTGGCCACACGCGTGGGTTTGAGCCGATCTGGGGCGGGCGGAAGAGGAAATGGTGAAGGTTCGGAGCCGCAGTTCTGGACCTCACCCGGGAGAGGGCGGTAGAGCTCTGATCCCGGAGGCTCCACTCAGGAGGGGTTCCCTCCACGGGACTGACACAAGTTCAGAGTCATGCAACTCACTGGCATCATATGGTACCCAGAGCATCCTGAAGGCACATTGACAGGAGCATGAGCTATCGGGTGCAGCACATGGTAGCTCCCTGCGACCCTTTAAAAATTAAAACAAAAAACACCTGAGAGTTCCGTTTTGAAGAGGGCTTTGTTACTCACTAGAGGGTCTGCTCCCTGAACTTCCATTTCCTTGTTTGTGAGGTGAGGTTTTTTTTTTTTTTTTTTTTTGTGTGGGTTTTTGAGACAGGGTTTCTCTGTGGTTTTGGAAGATGTCCTGGAACTTGCTCTTGTAGACCAGGCTGGTCTCAAACTCACAGAGATCTGCCTGCCTTAGCTTCTCGAGTGCTGGGATTAAAGGCATGTGCCACCACCACCAAGTTGAGAACAGTCATTCTAAAAGCACCCTCCCACTCCTTAATGGACAACACTTTTTCCCGTGGTAGGAGACGGGGATATTGCAGGGAACGCCAAATACTTGTATGTAGAATTTAAAATGGTGGCCAAATTTTGTACAATGAGATAATTTTCTGCAAAGCCTTGCGAATTGTAGTGTTCGCTAAGTGTAAGCAGAAGGGGAAAGTCAATGGGACAAGAAAGATCTCAAAGAATTTAAATTTAAAAAATTGTGCTTGTGTGTGCTTGTGTGTTAATGTGCACAGCTTACATGAAGGAGTCTCTGGAAGCCAAAAGAGGACATCAGACTCCTTGGAACTAGCGTTATAGGCAATTTTGAGCTGTCATGTGGGCACTGGGAGCTGAACCTTGGTCCTCTTCCATAGCAGTAAGCACTCTTAACTGCTAAGCCATCTCCAGCCCCCAAAACGATTTTTATAATGGGAAGAGTAAACTTAAGGTTAGTAAGGATGCAGAAGATAAAGAGTTGGCTGAGTTGGGATAGATACACAAATTCTTCTAGTACATTGTTTTCTTTCTGGAATGACAGCTATTGGAAGTAGTTTTAAAGTTTCACCTGATTGAGTGTCCCTGAGCATACGGGTAAGGTTTCTACTAGGCAGTAATTGAGTCAGAGAAGAATGAGGTCATGGCTTACCAGGAGAAATGAGAGTTTTAAGCTGCTGGGGGGGTGGGACAAGCATCTCTTGTGTTTATCATTACTCCTTGCGTTGTTCTTCTCGTGTCCCATAGCCAATACTCAGTATTCCTTGAGTTGAAAATTGGAGGTGGGATGTAGCTTGGTGGATAGAGTGCTTGACTATCATGAGCCCAGAGCTCCATCCCCTGCCCTCCATAAGTCAGTGTGTGGTACCAGATCCCAGCACTTGTGATTTGGAGGCAAGAGGATCAGAAGTTCAAAGTTATGCTAAGTAAGCTAAATGGTGACTCTGAGGCCAGACTAGGATGCAGGAGACCTTGCCAAAAGAGAGAGGGCAGAGAGCAAGGGCTGACTGAGCGGATTTATTGGAATCTTGTGGAATAAGTGAGTTGAAATCAAGGTTTTTGATAATTTTGTGTGATACTGTAGTTCATTAGGGAATGTGCATTGGTTCCTGATGGAAATGTGGATAGTGAAATCCAAGTGATCTCTTTGGTTGATCATCTAGTGTGAAATTAAGTTGTAGAGTTCCCAAAAGCCAGAGCAAAGCTAACAGAGGAAGGTGGGTGTCTTATTGGCTCACACTGACTTTCTCTGTCACTCTGTCAGCCCATCTCTGAGTGATGAAGAGAACTTGAAAGTGTTTGGGAAATGCAACAATCCAAATGGCCATGGACACAACTATAAAGGTAAGGGAGAACACAGTGACTTCTAACCTGTCAGCAAGAATGAAGTGTGTGTCATGGTGTCATGTAGGTACAGGGGTCATGAATGAGAAGCCTGTGGACAGTGCCAGTGCTCCGAGTCGTTCAGTGGAAATTCAAGACAAAGAGCTGTTGTTTTGGTTGGGTTAAGTGTATGGTTTGTCTCACAATTGTCCACTCTGTTAAAGACAGTAGAAAACAACAGCAACAAAAATGATTTGACATTTGAATGCATAATAAAACTGCTGTTAGTCATTTCTTTTTAATTAGGTTGGGCTGAAACTAGTGTTAAAATTTGATTATAATCAGTGTTTGAGGAGACAGATATGTTTAACTTGATTTGAACATAATACTATGTATATGTGGATTGAAACATCAAATATCCTTTTATATGTACAATTTTAAAATATTTTTATGTATCAGTTAAAATTTCAAGTTAAAAAACCTTCATAATAACTAAAATATTTTTATTTTGAGTAAAAAATGGCCAATGAAAAGGATCTGTTGCTTAGGGATATATTGTATGGCAGAAAATAATTTATTTATAAAATTTGCTGGCAGTAGTCTAAGAAAGTAGTTTGTGGGACGAAAAAGGGACATTCTTCTTTGAGACATGCCTGGTGCCTCAAATCACGACACCTAAGCCCTAGAATGTAGTAGTGGGCCTTGAGGTAGGGTTACATAAGGCTTCAGGCGATCACAATTTCCGGTTTAGTTCCTGACTCTTCTTTTGTCTGAGATGCCTCCCAACCTCAGTGTACTTAATCACCGTGGACTCTTCATAGTGCTTGTTTGGCAAGGAAATACAGAAGTATAAAAGTCATTCATTTATGAAGGTGCCGACCAAGTTTTCAAATGCTGTGTGTGAGCATCTGCTGTTTTTCAACAAAGCATTTCTGTGAGCTGAGGACACATCCTGGAAAGTAAAAGATGAGTGCTTTTGCCTGCGGAGGGATTGGACACGCACATGCATCTTCCACTTTTCCAGGAAGACACTGAGTGACATCTCCCTCCTCACCCCCTCCCCCCAAGGACCTCAGCCTTACAAGCAGATTTTACACCTTTTGGGATTTGGCTCACTTCCTCCACTCAGCCAAAGCTCCCACCAAGCTCCTCTGGGCTGAGTCTTGCATTGAGTGATAAAAAGATTTTAACGAAAAGAATGGCTATTTGGAGAAAAACTGAAGTGTAGTCTTGGGGGCTGAGGTCTAACAATTTATGGCTGACTTGTGCGTATATGCTTATCTGTTGAAAGTCATATTTTTTTGTTGGTATTTTTGTTTTCTTTCTCCTAGTTGTGGTGACAGTACACGGAGAGGTACGTGCTGGAAATGGTGTGTGGATTTGTTCAGATTGCTGGGCCATCTTCCAGACACTGGTCAAGCCTGTGTTGAAAGCTTGTGTTTCAGTTGCTTCATTGCTGGCCTTTCTGTGTGGTGAGCTCCTGCCATGCCAGGCCTCTCTGTTATATATGGATGGGCATAAGATCCATCCAGTGAAAAGGGTGTTGGAGCACATGGTACTTCTGCACCCAGAACCAAAAGTGTCCCTGGGGCAGAGGAAAATGTGGACACAGTCTGCATGTTGTACAGCCTTTAATCGCTTGCAAAGTTATTTTACTTTTGAGGCAGGCTCTCATGTAGCCTACTGGGCTCGGCTTGAATTTATTGTGCATCCAAGAAAGGCTTTGCCCTCCCTGTCCTCCTGCTTCCGTTTCACGGTGCTGAGATTACAGGCATGAGCCACCCACCCAGCCTTGTGAAAGTGTAGAAATGTAGAGCCTACTAGAATGATAGACACCCTTTTTTCTTCCTTAGATTGATCCTGTTACAGGAATGGTTATGAATTTGACTGACCTCAAAGAATACATGGAGGTAATGTCATTTTGGGCCCTTAATATGTGATACTCCCTCAGTATAATTTTAGTCATGTCATTCCCCCCCCCCCCATTTGCCTCATCTCTTGAGATGCCATGACTTTATGAGTTGGGGTAGGTGGGGGATTGGAGAAGGTTTGTAGCAACTGCTTTTTAGTCTTCTAAGGTCTTAATAGGAAGTAGTCAGAGTTGTGTTGTAGTGATGGGGAGAAATGCCACATGCTCATCTTCTACTTTTCATTGGTAGACACTTGTTTTTTTCTTCTTATCAAATCTACCCTTCTTTTACAACACAGCCATTTCTTTGAAGCTTTTACTAATTGTACCGTTGATTATAAAATTCTTAAAATGCCATACTTTTTTAATGACTTTTTTTTTTTTTTCAAGACAGGGTTTTTCTTGGCCATCCTGGAACTTGCTTTGTAGACCAGGCTGGTCTCAAACTCACAGAGATCCACCTGTCTCTGCCTTGCCTCTCAATTACTGGGATTAAAGGCATGTGCCACCAAGCCCAGCCTCTCTCTTTTTTTTTTTTAAGATTTATTTTTACTGAGATCAATATGTAAAATAAGAAAAAATATTAAATAATAATTTTAAAAGATATATTTTTAATTTTGTGAATCAGTTTTTAAAGCTTCCATATTGTAAATACAAAAATGAATGACTGAGTCCTAGCTTCATAAATATACAAGTGCAGTGTAGAGGCCAGAAGCCTTGGATCTCTGTAAGCCAAAGTGACAGGTAATTGTAGGCTATTCCATGTGGGGTCTGGAAACCCAACCTGAACATCAAGGGCTCTTTGCCATCTTGAACCATCTCTGCAGCCCCAAGACTACACTTACTTAGCACCTGTGGCTTTATGCTAAGTTACTAAGGCAATTTATGATAGAAATAACACATTAGAATGTGTAAAAGACTTCTTGATTGTATTATCATAAGATTCTTGTGTTGGAAGAGATTTTAGAGATTATTTATACCAATTTCTTTATTCCATAGTTTAAAACTGAGGGATGCTGGACAGTTTATTTTATTGCCCCAGGTTATGTGGTCATTCTTATTCACAAAGTTGAGGATTTTTCTCACCTAGTTTCCATTTCAACCTGCTTTTTAGTTCTTCATTTCAGCTGACTTTTATTCTCAAGGTTGACAGATGTTTTGTAAAACAATGTTACTAATAATTACTCTTTCATATTGTTCAAGTATTCAACAAATTTATTTCTTTACAACTGTTTTTTTTTGTTTTGTTTTGTTTTGTTTTTTTTTAGTTTTTTGAAACAGGGTTTCTTTGTATTGCTTTGGAGGCTGTCCTGGAACTGGCTTTGTAGATCAGGCTGACCTCGAACTCACAGAGATCCACCTACCTCTGCCTCCCAAGTGCTGGGATTAAAGGTGTGCACCACTAATGCCTGGCTTCTTTGCATCATTTTTAAAAAGCTAATTATTGGAAATACAAAGATGAGTGAATGAGACATAGCTCACAGAACATATGCATGTCTTTTTTAGGGGGTAAAGAATAGTAAGTGGTCAAAAATTATTTGAGTAAGGGAATAAGAGAATGAATGAGTGAATGAGTGAGTGAGTGAATAGAGGACTTCTAAAGACATGGACTTTGTATTTGTAGGGATACAGAATATAATATATACTATATATTTGTGTGTGTGTGTGTGTGTGCGTGTGTGTGTGCGTGCGCACGCGCTATAAGACAACAGCATGAGAGGCCTCAGCAGGCAAGGATTGAATACTTAGGGAGCTCTTGGCGTTTTCTTCCTCCTTTGGTTGCCTAAGTAATCACACATTCCCACCAGTAAAAGTGGCTTCCTGTGGCCATAGAGTGAAGTTAGGGTCCTGTAGAAACTGCAATAGAGAAGTTGGAGCCAGAATTGGAATCCAAGATTGAGCAAAGATATTTATTTTCTTGGTATTCACATCTCTTCATTTGATTTATTTTTAAAAATTAATTGGTTTAGGAGTTGATTTAAGACTCACTCTTTTTATATGATTCCAGTTCTGTTGAAGAAAACGGGTTATTAATGTACCTTCAGACCAGGTAGGAAACTTTTGTAGATGAGCTAATGATAAAAATTTAGAAAGAATAAGGCAATTACAATCTTTGCTAATGACGAGAAGAAACATTATGTTAATATACATAAACATCAGGAAGTGATAATTCCCATGTTTATTTATTTATTATTTTCTTCTAGGCAGAAGGTCGTTGTTAAATTATTCTTCGGGACAGAAATTTAGAAAATGTCCATCATTTTAGACCAGGCTTTAATGACACAGGGCACTGTGCAGTTGACACCGTGCTGTGGGAGAGTGTATCTAGTGTTTATAGTAACTTTTTAGACAGAATTCAAGAAGGGCTAAACTGAACTGTGAATCGCGATGGCTCTGTTTCTAGGAAGTCCCAGGCACTCTCTGGTTTTGTGGTTTCTTCCCTCTGCCTCAGGAGCAAGGATGCACATTTGTTACAGTTGTTATCAGGAGCTGGGCCTAACTTTGTTTCACAGCCTTGGGAGACTGCTTCCCAGTGTTGAGTCTTGGCTAAATGTGGGGGAGGGGTTCTGAGACTTGGGGGAAGGAACCCTTTGTTGCTGAGTTATAAACACTCAGGGTGTCCCTCTCCCGTCTGCAGGAGGCCATCATGAAGCCCCTTGATCACAAGAACCTGGATCTGGATGTGCCCTACTTTGCAGATGTTGTAAGGTGTGTGTCACTGTCTGGCTTTGAGCAGGAGAAATGAAGCAAATTATCATTTTATGTGATTATTGTGTTGTTTCTAAAATATTGATTCAGTGGTAGAAGTTACTGGGATTCCTGTTTTCCCTATGATTAAAACGAATTTTTGTTCATTATTTGTATTTTGAACTCTTTTCTTTTTCTCTTCAGCACGACAGAAAATGTAGCTGTTTATATCTGGGAAAACCTCCAGAAACTTCTTCCTACAGGAGTTCTTTACAAAGTAAAAGTGTATGAAACTGACAACAACATTGTAGTATATAAAGGAGAATAGAGATTAGGGTTACTATTATAGAAAGGCTAATTGTTTTTCATATTTGAAAAAGCTCTTTGTCCCTTTAGAATATCTAGCAGTCACCACGCACTTGTGTCTCCACATTGTATTCTGAAATGTCTGAGTGTTAAAATAACTGTAAGGTCCATATTTAAATGCATTTAAAATTCAAACTTTCGGTGTACGCTGAATTTACTTTTGGTTGAGGAAGCAGGGGAGAGCTGAGGGTTGGGCCAGCTCTCACATGCTAAGCGTGCCACACCGCACTCCTGCCCTCTCAGTGTCATTCAGGGTATCTTTTGTCTAGAGATTCAAAGTTATTTCATTCTCAGCAAAATGTCTTGGTGTAGAATTATTTAGAGGCAAAATAAACACATTTCCATAGTATGTGTTCTCTGTTATCTATTTCATTTGTAGCATTTGTATTTTTCTTGGTATAATACAAATAGTAAAAATGTTTATGTGATTTATAGTATATCAACCTTAGGGGGAAAATTTTAGAGGGGCATAAAACTGGAGACTATATTTTTTAAAAAAAGATTTAGTTATTTTTTACTTGTGTGTGATGATATCTATAGTTTAGTTTGTTTTTCATTATATATATAGTTTATTTTGGTATCATGGCCCATTTGCAGTTTATTTGTATAGTGATCTTAAACAAATAACTCAGTTTTTTTCAATTTAAACTTCTTATAAGTAAAATGAGAAAATACCTTTCAAAGTAATTGCAGCAATCCTGCCTTTCAAGTAATCAATACAAAATACTGCACATGAATAAAATCTTGACAACTAAATCATACTAAAATTTAAGTGGGTATTGCATTGTCAAAATTTATAATAATAAAAGCCCTTTATTTATCCCCATGGGTCTGTTTTTCTACAAGTGTTTCTGGAATCATAATCAGTGCATAAGCATGCTCAATATTCATTAGATGGCAATATTCTGAGAATCCAGTATATACTAGCTGTGAAGTGAAGAGAAATACAAAGCCTTATACTTAAGAAGTCTAGAATACAAACTGAACACAATGTAACAGCTATTTGTGCAAAGCAAGCAAATTCATTGTTGAGAATTCGGTCATAATGAAAAGATAGTGAAGAACACTAGGTATATAGTTCAACTTATATGGGTTAATTTCGTGATCAGAGCAAAGCAGGATCAGTCAGGTATGCTTAGGAAATGCCTTACTGAGTAGCATAGGTCTTTTGTGTTAACTTATGTGATTACTATGTAGTTTTCTAAGTTAAAATTATGCAGGTACCCGTGATATCTGGAATTCCAGACAAATATAGATAACTAGTTTACTGATATCGATGGTGTATTTGATTTGTTGTTTCACAGTAGCAGCTTACATTTCAATAAGCAGGTTGAGACTATAGTGGATAATCCATGTAAAGGCAGTGTTTCCATCAACTTGGTATACACCATCAGTATATGAACCATTCTTTGCCTCACGTCATGTAGGTGTCCAGTACAAGTAACTAAGGGCCCTCAATCTATTAAGAAATGTCCAACCTCTATGGGTTGGAGAGGTAGCTCAGAGGTTAAGAGCACCTGCTGCTCTTCTAGAGGACCAGAGTTTGGTTCCCAGTGTCTATATCAGGTGACTCTCAACAACCTGTAACTCTTTTGGTCTCAGTGGGCACCTACACTCATATCATCAGGCTTTGTGCCAAGAGATCATTGGCCCAAAGATAACATTTGCACGTTCTATTTGCTCTCCTATTAAAATCTGTTTGTCTGTCTGTCTGTCTCTGAAAAGAAAATGAGTCAGTGGATTAGTGAATGAGTGTTTATTGAAAGGACCAAAGATACTATACTGTATACTGATGACTTTTTCCCTGGGGAGATATAGTGACCAAGACTTTCTCAGTCTCTGATGAAAGGACAAAGGGAACTCTAGCCCTGTGTCCTTGTCTAGAAGTGGACTTGAGAAGGCCAGTTTAGTGCTGGAGCATGGCTCAGCCATTATTAAGGGCTGACTCAACCAAAAAGATAGGAGCCTGGATAGCTCAGTCAGTAGAACATGAGATTTAATCTCAGGGTCCTGGATTCAAGCCTCATGTTGGGCTCCACTTGACCAGAACCAGGAGGAATACGGGCGCTGAACTTTGAGGAGTTCAGTGGGAGGACCAGAGATGAGAAATAAAAATGAGAAATAAGACAAAAGCAATAGCTGGGGCAGAAGGTCTTGTGTAAGTTGACTTATGCCAAGCAAAGTTATTAAGCAGTACACCATCATATATATACTATTTATTTGCAGGGGAAATGGTAAAGGTCAGCCGATACCTAAGTCAGACAGTGGTGACAAAGAGAAAATGGAATACCTCACATAGATAGAACTGCCTGACGACTAGTAACCACAGCCCAGTGCAAAAGTCAGGTCCCCACAAACCACAACTTTGATTCTCTCAAGGCATTAGCTCCAGCCCAATCCAGCCTTAAACTGGCCTTGCTAAGTCCATTCCTGGCCAAGGACATAGAACTAAAGCTCTCTGTCCTATTTCACTGGGGCTTTTGAGAAAGTTGTAGATCAGTCTGGTTCCCCATAGTTCTCTTTCAGAGGCAACATCAAACATACATTGTAATTACCACTTTGTTGTTTCTTGTTATACTCTGCTAGTGGGAATTTTTCTTGTTATACTCTGCTGGTGGGAATTTCTTATGAAGCAAAGCCTTTCCTCTAAGTAACATATCTAGTAAATAGCATTCAGTGACTTTTTTTTTTTTGTTGTTGTTGTTAAATAGGTAAATGAATGACAAATTGTTAACTATTGAAATTTTATCACGCTTGGCATGTATTTTTAGAATTAATTAACTACAACATTTTGGAGCTTAAATGCTGGTCCCAAAGTTGTTATTATTTAGAATCATACTCATCTCTAGGTTTAGCTTTTACCTGTAAATAGAATCCTTAAGATAGATATTTTCTGAAGTTTATTCTTCCTCCTCCTCTTCCTTCTTCCTCTGTCCCCAAGCTCTTCCCAGACTCTCCCCCGGCTTTGCATCTCCCTCCTCTGCCCCTTCAAGACCAATTTATGTTGCTTAAATACTCTTGGATGTGTTGTCTCCCACTGGAGCATAGTTGATTTGCCAGGGGCTACTCTCTTAGAGAAAACTGTCTCTCCCTCTGCCAGCAACAGTTGCCAATATCACCACAATTAGTAGTGGGATTATGTGACTTCTCCTCTCTCCATGCAGGGATTTGGTCTGGCTTGGGCTTGCACAAGCTTTGTGCATATTGTTTGCAATTGCTGTGAGCTCATATGTGCAGCTGCCCAGATATGTCCAGAAGCCACTGTTTCTTTTGGGTTGTCTACTACCTCTGGCCCTTACATTCTTTCTACCTCCTCTTCTGTAATGATCCCTGAACCGTGTGTGTGTGTGCGTGTGTGTGTGTGTGCATGCGTGTGTGCGTGCGTGTGTGTGTGTGTGTGTGTGTGTGTGTGTACTGAAATGCATGTATGTTATATATGTTTCCTTCAGGGCTGAACATTTTGCAGTTTCTTATTCTCTGTACCTTGGCCAGTTGTAGGTCTGTGTTAATCACCATGTACCATAAAGAGAAACCTCTCAGATGAAGGTTGAGAGATGCATTAAGTCATAAGACAGCTTAATACTGTCTATACTAGTAGTAGATTCTCTCCTAGGGCCTATGACCTGTCTAGCCATAGCCTGATAATGGTGCCAGATATGGATTTTATCTTGTGGAGCAGAATTTAAATCCAATTGGAAAGTGGTTGGTTATTTTTCTTAGTCACTGTTCTATTGCTGTGAAGAAAAATCATGACCGAGGCAGCACTTAGAAAAGAGAGCATTTAATTGAGGGCTTGCTTAAGTTTTAGAGGTTTAGACTGATCATCATAGTGAGGAACAGCAACATGCTTCCAACAAGGCCATTCCTGCTGATCCTTCTCAAACAATTAATCAACTGGGGACTAAGCATGCAAATATATGAGCCTATGGAGGCCATTGTCATCCATTCCATCACAGTTACTCTTTGTACCAGTAGATGCGTGTGATTCTAGTGCACTAATGCATGTCTTTCCAGGACAGTCATTATTGCAGCTTGTAGGGTTCACAGTTAGGTATTATTGATGATTATTTTCTCCTCTGAAGTGTGCATTGCACCTTCCAGCACTATGAAAGTTAGCTAGTAGAGATAAAGCTTCCAGATCAGTATCAGTTTGATTTCTTCATGTTTCTGACTCAATCATTAGTATCTTCAGCAAAAAGGGTTTAACATCAAATTCTGGAGGGTAACCAAGAGCAATGGCAATAGCTTGTAATGTTGAGTGGTGAGGCTTGGGTCTATGGGACTTTACTGGCCAACAACTCCTAAAGAAGTAACCCATTCTGGGCTTTCTGTTAGCCTCCGTTGTCTAGCAGAGGCACTTATTGTCAGAGCCCCTGGAACTGGAGATTCAGATGGTTGTGACCACCCTGTGGGTGCTGACAATCAAACCCAGGTCTTCTGGAAGAGCAGCTCAGAACCACTGAGCCATCTCTCCAACCCCTTCTGCTCTTATTATGATGATTACATTTTTAAAAACACAAACATAATGATTTATTTCACACTTATCACATGCCATGGTGTTCATGTAGAATTAGAGGACTACATTCAAGAACCAGTTCTCTTCTTCCATTGTAGTAGATTCTGGGGTTCAACCACCCTGTTGGGCTATCATGATAGTTATCTACTGTTGAGTAACAAAGGTGGGTGGGTAACAGGCTGGTGGTTTAGAATGCAGAAGAGAGGTAATGAATACCAAAGGGATACATGTTAATGAGCTAAGTGACTAGGGTGAGAATGTGAGAGGCATATTTGAGATATAGGGAGATTAGTATCAGTGTGGGGATGTATGATAGCATCCTGGGATTCGAGCCCAGAAACACAGGATGGGGCAGCCTACAGAGCTTTGATAGCAGATTTAGTCTTCACTTTCAGGAATAGGAAGTTGTTGAAGATTTTCTTTCATTGTTACATCTTAAAAAAGACAACCAGATGATGAGGAAGCAGAGAAAACCATTGCAAAGCAGACGGCAGGGATCTAGCCATGAAGCAGTGGGTGTCTACTGTGGTGGCAGGGGATACAGGCTATGCCTTCTGTGCTGTCAGGTATTTTCCTGGATAATTTTATTTCGGTTTTAAGACCCTGTTTCAAAATGAAAATTGAGAAAAGTGACAGCCCCCCCCCCAAAATGTGGTCAAGAATGACCTTGAATTTCAGATCCTCCAAAGTGTTAGGAGTATACCTGGTCTTGGTGCTTTGTATTATTTTACCCTTATAACCACCCTGTTGAGCTAGCATAATAGCTATCTACTGTTGTGTAACAAATAACATAGCTTATACATGACTCAACACAGCACACTGCTGTTATCTCGGTTTCGGTGGGCCAGCAAGCTAGGGATGGTTTAGCCTGGGACTTCTGGTTCAGGGTTGTGTACAGAACATCTTACGACTGTCTCAAGGCCAGGAAGGATCTACTTCCCAGCTCACTTAGGCAATGGATGACTGAACCCAGCCCCTCGGGGTAGTTGAACTTAGACCTCTTTTGAAGCATTTTCTAACACGATGGCTGCTTTCCCAGTGTGAACAAGGGAGACTGTCCCCAAAGCCAGAGTCACCATTTTGTGTATCTCACAACTATTTCTGTATTCTGTTCTTTAGAAGCAGATCACTAGGTCTGACCTACACTCAAGAGGAAGGAATTGCACATGCACATCCACAGAGGTCTCTAGGAATGAAGGTGGAAAGGTAGTCAGCGACTGTGGATTCTGACTTTTTGGACACTTCCTTTTATAGGAGTCCTGGCCACAGTACTTGTTTATAGAGAGGATTATGGGGGTTTTGAAATAG